ATGGAGTGACCAGTGAAGTTATCACTAGGCTTTAATGTAAACACTGCATTTTCTCTGAAAAGACCGTGTTTACAGCAAAAAGCTTGAAGCCAATGATTCTACACACCAGAACAAATTCAATAAGCTGTAGTTGTTCTGGTGACTATAGTGTCCCTTTAAACCCAAGTATTGTTGATACTGCACTGAGGGGAAGAACAGAGTGAAGGCAGCAAGCTGGAACCCCTGGAAGGAGACCCAGAACATTGACTGACTAAGTGCATTTGTGAGTAGTGCTAGAGATCCGCTTATACTCACCACTCTGTCCTGTAAGCAGCAGCTTTAAATTCAGTCCATTCATAAACGTATCATAGAACTCTACGATATTATGAGTTAACGTCTAGAGATATATTTTAACTTGTATCATAGTGTGTAAAAAGGTGTACACTATTATCTCCCATTTTATTTTATTTCATGTGTATTCGGTTATTAAGGACCTATTGCCGCCATCTACTGGTCTATAAGTATAACTACATCCCTGAATTTCTTATTTGGTATGGAGATTTTCACACAGAGTATTACTGCTCCACTTTTTATAATTTCAATTTATGGTGTATTGTGAGTTTTTGGGTACAGCCCTAAAGTTTGTAGCAGATATTGAGAATTGATTGCAGAGCACTGAAACACTTTTCCTATTTCTAAAACCGGTTAGTGTATTTTTTCCCATTTTTATACACTTCTGAAAATATTTAGTGCTCCTTTTATTTATTTTTATATATCAGAGTTGAAGATTTTGCCAGGTTTAAAAAAAATTAAAAATAAGGTTACGTAACATTTATTAATAAATACAGAGGAGTTTCACAAGTGGAGAGTGTACTGTTGCTGTACCTTTAAACAGTTACTGTGAGGCTTCTGGAACTAGGTAACTTGTCTGTCAACTCTGTCTAGTCCATAGCCTCCGGTGTTTTGTTAGATTTTTGGACCCATCAGAAATCAAGAGTAGACAACCCATGGTATTTAAAATGTGGTATGTCAAGTCAGGGCCGGTGCAAGGATTTTTGGGTACACTGGGGTAGATGATTTTGGAGCCGCCCCCCTTCCCCTAAAGCATCTTCACCTGTGTGCCTCTTAACCCTCTTAACCCGCCTTTTGTTTCTTATCCCCTTTTTTAAATGTCTTACTGCATTTAGTGTCTTATCCCCATATTTTTACCATTGTGTGTCTTACACCTCCCTTGTGTATCTCTTACTACCACCCCTTTGTGTTTCTTACTCCCCCCAGCCTCTGTGTCTCCTTCTCTCCCAGACCCTTTGTGTATTTTACTCCTTTGCATGTTTCTTCTTTACCACCAGCCCATCTATCTCCCCTCCCATACCCTTTGTATTTCCACTCACAGGCCCTTTGTGTGGTGCTTTCATCCCTAGCCCCTTCTGTGTGTCTTTTTCGCCACTCAGGCCCCCCTGTGTGTCAGCCACTCTCCCCTCATGTCCCTTAGTGTTCTCCTCTCCTCCTCTCCATGTCCATTAGTGGTCCTCTCCCCTCCATGTCCATTAGTGTTCCTCTCCCCTCCCTTCGTGTTCCTCTTCTCCCACCCTTGTGCCCCACATTCCCCTTAATGTCAATCTCCCTTTTAGTGGTCCCCCCACTACCCCGGTGTTAATTTTCTCTTCCCTCCCCTCCCCTGTACCTTAGTGACCCCCCTAATGTTCCTCTCTCCCCCCCCCCAGAGTTTCTCAACACTCCCTCTTTTTTAGTGTTTTTAACGTATCACCTGGCACCCCGACTGGGTACCTCAATTGAAGGATGCTCCTAGCGCTTCCTGAGGACTCCAAGCACTGCAGCAGACACCACAACCACCGAACCGGAGAAGCATATGAATGCTCTCAAGCATATGATTGTTGTATACAGACGAATAGGAAAAACCATGCGAATAGGTTTACACTCCTAGCATTCAAACTGGAACAGCATACAATAAATCCTCCCCCAATAATGAGACGACACTTCACTTTGAGGGTTAAGCAGGAACTCTCCTGTAATGGCCACACACTGGCTTTTATGCAAGTCCCCATGCAAGGGGACATCCCACAGGGTGGGACTCAGTACAACCATTTACAGGAGAACCGTAAAACACACCCAGCACAAACATACATCCCTCCCCTCTGCCTGTGATATAATTACTGAACACAATGGGTTAATGTAATTTATCACAGGCAGGAAAAATACACTTTTTATACATACACTGTAACTTTAAAAATATGCATCATATTCACATAAAACATACATATTCGGAATCAGCATACTTTAAATATAAACATAACCCAAATTCAGCCAATTCCATACAGGCGTTAAAAAGTTAAGGAAAAGTCCTATTTGATCAAATGCAGCATGGCTTTTCTGCCCAAAACCAGTTCCACAGAGTCTTCTATCCTGGAGATAATTGGGAAGTAATCCAATTATCTCCAGGACAGAGGCAAAACTCCATTGGCAGACAAAGGACAATAAAAGACATAAAAATATATACGGGTACATTTATCACATAGATAATACACATTCTACCTATCCCCAGATAGCTGAGATCTGAGCGCACATTATTACCGGATGGTGCTCAGATCACATACATACAGTTCAATTGCCATGGAGCCAAAGTCTTTCATACAGTCTTTCAGTATACGGCTGGGCTCCATGGCATAGCTATCTGGGGTAGCATGGCTTTAACAGTCCACAGAAAGTCACGAATAAACCTTTCTGCAGGTAAAACAAAAGTTTAAAATGCAGGACCATAGTCTAAAGGGAGCAGGCGAGCAACCAGGCCTCTCCAGTGGACAGTGGCGAGGTTGGTTCCGCTACAGTGTTCTCCCCCCCCCCCCCGATAGTTCCTCCCCATAGTGTTCCTTCCCCCCTCTTATAGTGTTCCTCCCCCCCACCCCTCTTAGGGCCCCTCTCTCTCCCCTCCTTTGTCCCCAGTGTGTCTCCTACCTTTTTTGTAGCATGGCCGAGCAGAGCAGACCGCGGTACAGGAGCTTCAGTTTCCTGTACCTGGCCGGACTGATAGGAAGTGCTCTCTCAGTGAGCACTTCCTGTCAGTCTGGCCGGGTGCAGGAATCAGTGACTGGCACTGAGTGACTGACAGGGGGGAGCGCTGTGAGCGCTGTCCTGCCAGTCACTCCAATCTAGTGCCTCCCTGCCCGGTGCGCCCTAAGGCAGACGCTTGTGTCTTCTTATGGACGCGCCAGCCCTGTGCCAAGTCTTCAGGAATCATATTAGTTTTTTGCATTTTTCACACACACACTTATACACAAACAAAACTGCCCTTTTACTGATATTTGTTTTCAATGATGTCACACGAGTACGACAGTACCCCCTTGTAAAGGTTTTATGGGGTTTGAAATGTTGCAGGGTCAAATATAGGGCTTGTAAATGTAATTCTCTGGACTTTATGCCTGCTTTGTCAGGTAGGTCCACCAATATATAACTAATAAAAATAAACATAATTATGTAAAACTAATATAAATGTACAGTTAGAATAAAAACAAACATAATGTAAAAATAATATACATGTACAGGTAGAGAATAAAAGTATATACATTGTGAATGTACACACACACACACACACTGAACAGAATTATAAACGCAACACTTTTGTTTTTGCTGTCCTTTTTCATGAGCTGAACTCAAAGAATTAAGACTTTTCTATGTACCCAAAAGGCCTATTTCGCTCAAATATTGTTCACAAATCTGTCTAAACCTGTTTTAGGGAGCACTTCTCCTTTGCCGAGATAATCCATTATCTTTTATGAGATTAACCCACTTAGCAGACATTAGGCTGTTAGAGTAGGACCTGCCAAAGATGGGGTACATTGATGTTGTGGCAGGCTTATGCAATGTATGATCATATAATGTAACTAAACCCCCATTATTTTTGCCTAGATTAGGTGTTTTTTTTAAAAACCAAAAACTAATAAAATCTGTCAACATTAAAGTTGCTGTTTAGTGGATAGGTGAGTGCGCTGGATCATGTGTATTGTATAATTTGGCCCCCTGCAGCAACCCATTTAGGCATCTTCAGGTGAGTGCAGCCTCCCCCCCCCCGTTTCATATATATATATATATATATATATATATATATATATATATATGTGTGTGTGTTAAAAGGCCATTAGGCCTGAATTTGTTGGAGGAGTTAAGGCCCCTACTTTAACCCCTAGCCCCTACTCACCTCTGTCGTTCAAACTGATTGACTCACCTTGGCAACCAGCACTTCCGGTCCGAGTTCCCACCAGAAAAAAGTTACCGACGCTAGCAGGAATCCTGTCGCTGCAGTATCCTCTGCCTCAGACCTCCGGTCCTGCCACCCGGCTTCTCCCCGGTTACGCTACCAGGCTTCCGGTCACGAGTCCGGCGCATCCACGTAAGCACAACGTGGGAAATAGCGTTCGGTTATTTCCCACAAACGGGCCTAAAAACTTAGGGGTAGGCTCCCTTTCACTATTAAACTATGCAATTCGTATATACTTACCCGTTCGTATACTTACCCATTCGTGCACTCCTGCAGTTCATACGGCTAAACAGTTGACCACAGGCATACTTACGTTCATTCAATCATTCGCGCGGTCTCTGTTAAATGGACCAACGTTCATATCCCTCATCTTACACGGGTTCTTACGTTACAGTATCACTGATACACACCTATCCATACGTTTCATTTTGACATATCAGTGACACGCCTTGGGCCCACCTACATCTACCAGCGATTCGTCAAAGACTATTCATTTCCAAGACTACTCTATCACGCACAAAGTGATAAAACGCTATACTCGAGGTTAGTAGTTTTACCGGTCCAGCGAGGCCAACTCCCCACCTCAACACAGAGGTTCAGCCCCACGGCCAAAATCCTAGTTAGCCGCCTCACTCGCCCTTCTTTAGGGCTACAGTTAGGGCCTCCCTTGTCACGGCCACACGTTTTTGAATCTCTTATGGTCATCGAGAGGCCTACATCCCACCACCACGTCGGAGGCCACAACTTCCCTCACCCCAAATCATAGGCAGAGCCTCTCACTGCCACTTGGCATTAGCAGGGCCTCACCTGTCACTTGGTTATAGTTAAGTTATTCGCCTCGGCACTAGTCAGCAAGCCAGTTCTATAAAGGCCTCGTTACCCCTCCACACTCTCCTATCTAATTTCATCATTATTCCTTTTTCAGAATGTCACAGGAATCTATTCCCATCGAAGATTTACCTAAAGATGAAGTACTCATCACGCCAGCTATGCCTGGTTCGCCAGACGATACTCTACTCCCATGTCCCTAAAATCTTGGACTATTCCAAAAATTGCTGCCGAACTTAGACTCAGGGGCATCCTCTTTCCAGCAACTGCCAGGAAAGCGGAACTTTTCAGACTTTTGTTGGCTCAGGCCAGCGAACCTAGACTTGGCACTAGCTCCCAAGGGCCGTCTACCGGCACCTCTAATTCCACTCAAGAAACCCTGGCTAAACCCGTAGCCCCTACTCACCTTTGTCATTCAAGCTGATTTACCCCACCCACCTACACCCATCTATATGTTACATTTCACCTTGGTGGGCCCTCTTTTTATTACAGGCCTACTCGTATGTTTGTTTCGGCACACCTCAACCAACTTTTGCATCTTCTACAATCCATAACATATTGAAATTCCGAGCACAAATATATATATATATATATATATATATATACACACACATATACATTGTAAGTATATTTTGATATTAATATATAACTATATATCAATATGAAAATACACTTAGATTGATGTGTGTCTTGCTATTATATATAAATATATATATATATCACATATTCAAACACGTATAAGTGTGTATGTAATATTTTTACATAATTATATGATTTTATTCATTATATGTTGGGGGATCTGCCTGAGAACCCAGGCAGTCTCCCTGCAGGCAAGTCGAGTGATCCGAGTTATGTGATTTTGGTTTCATCGCTATCATATGACTTGGATTGGTGGGATTGGCTGCAGGTGGACTGCCTCAGTTGTCAGGCAATTACCCTCATCGGATACGGCAAGGAGGGTAAGTATTTCTGCTGCAGTGAAGGCCCGATCGTTAGTGCATTCTATGGGGCCATAACAGAATTAAAACCCTCCTCTTCTACAGCACACCCTACAGCACACCCTAATGTCACAAAGGGATTAAATAGGTAAAAATAGGAAATAGTAATATTAGAAATGATAGAGTAAGAGTTATTTTTATATAAGCATTCAGTCTCCGTTTGAGGAGAAGTTTCTTTTTCCGTCAAAATAAAAATCAGTGAATTTATCCACCAAATACCAGTCATATGTATAGGGACTGGTGACACAATTTTGTGTTTTTGTATTGTAATGTTAACAATCTTATTTGTCATCTACTTTTCTAAAATCGTCTGGATAACAACAACAAATAAACAAAGAAACACAGTTAAAGAATAACAGTGAAAGAGTTATTAACAGGCAGCCACCTACAAATTTTCAAAACACATTTTGAATTTGCTTGTGATTGATATTTATTTGATGAATTCATAGTTGATGGAAACATTGAACAAAAGAGCAAAAGATTTATGATGAATCAAAGCAGGTAGCAGTGTGAATATCGGGAATTCCTTGGCATCTGAAAGAAAAAAAATATATTTAACTTTTATGTATATAAATCTATATCTCTATTTCAACCTGCATATTAGCACAGCATCTGTATGTATATGTATGTAGCTAATGGTTTCTATTTTTTTTTTTCACGCATACTCTTATGCAGTAGATTGTTTTATATATTTCTGTATGCTGGATATTTATGCAGCTGTATTTATGTTTGGCACCCCTAGCGGCTTGATAAAGAGAGTACAAATATTGCCTTTTAATGTCCAATTATATCACTAGTGACACATTAGCATAGCAGTGCAGACATAAAAGGCTCTCGAGGGTGTAGTCTCGTTGGTGTGTTTTTTTTAATATGATGTATCCCTGTCATGTGAGCTGTGGCTATGTATGAGGGACATTGCAGAGTCTTCACAACTGTGCAGGGCCGGACTGGGAAAAAAATTAGGCCCGGGCATTTTTCAATCAGAGCGGCCCCCTAAGAAAGGGGCGGGGCCAGAGAGTGTGTGTTTTGTCATCACTAATGACAACACGCCCCCTCTCAAAGTGAGCATGCTGGTTCAATGCCCAGAGCCCTGCTGAAGAGCTCTGGCATTAGAAAAAGACCCTGAATTTGTTCTGCGCAGCGCAAGCAAATTTAATAACATGCTTGTGCTGTGTTTGCTTTTAAATTGTCTCTGGTGTTTCCACAAGTGAGATACCAGAGGACAAAAGGGCCAGGAAAGTGCATGGTGCATATGTTTGGAGCCTGCTTGTGGGATTGCATGTGTGTAGAGAGTGGTGTGGTATGGTATAAATAGGTCAATTTAATTTGTGTTTGTGGTGTAATATGTGTGGCTAGGGGCTGTAGAGAGTGTGTGTATAGGGGGCATAGTTTTATAGGGGATGCAGCGAGTGTGTGCATACGGGCTGAAGTGTGTGTGTATAGGTGACGTAGTGTGTGTAGGGGTTGCAGAGAGGGTGTGTTTAGAGAATGTTGTATGTGTTTGCTGACAAGGAATGTAGTGTGTGTGTGTAGGAGATCTACTGTGTAAAGGACCCAGTGTGTGTGTGTAGAGGATTAAGAGTGCATATAGGGTAAGGGATCTAATGTGTATCTGGAGCGTGTGTAGTGGTGCAGGGTGAGGGGTGCTGTAGTGTGTGTGTGTGTGTGTGTGTATGTATGTATATATATATATATATATATATATATATATATATTTTGACTTATTGTATGTGTGAGGGGCGCAGTGTGTGTATGTAAGAGGGGTGCTGTGTGTGAGGGTGTTTTTATCTGCTGTCACATTCTAGGTTTCTAATTTTCTTTGTCTGTTAACTCACTGAGGGTTATTTTATATATATATATATGTGTGTGCTGTGTGTGAGTGAGGGTGCTGTGTGTGTCTGGGTGCTGTGTGTTTGGGGGGTGCTGTGTCTGTCTCGGGGGCGCTGTGTCTGTCTGGGTGCTGTGAGTGTCTGGGTTCTGTCTGGGTGCGCTGTGTGTGTCTGGGTGCGCTGTGTGTGTCTGGGTGCTGTGTGTATGTCTGGGGGTGCTGTGTGTGTCTGGGTGCTGTGTGTGTGTCTGGGTGCGCTGTGTGTGTCTGGGTGCTCTGTGTGTGTCTGGGGGTGCTGTGTGTGTCTGGGGGTGCTGTGTCTGGATGCTGTGTGTGTGTCTGGGGGTGCTGTGTCTGGGTGCAGTGTGTGTCTGGGGGTGCTGTGTGTGTCTGGGGTGCTGTGTGTGTGTCTGGGGGTGCTGTGTCTGGGTGCTGTGTGTGTGTCTGGGGTGCTGTGTCTGGGTGCTGTGTGTGTCTGGGTGCAGTGTGTGTCTGGGGGTGCTGTCTGGGTGCTGTGTCTGCGCTGTGTGTGTCTGCAGTGTGTGTGTCTGGGGGTGCTGTGTCTGGGGGTGCTGTGTCTGGGGGGTGCTGTGTCTGGGGGTGCTGTGTGTGTCTGGGGGTGCTGTGTCTGGGTGCTGTGTGTGTCTGGGGTGCTGTGTCTGGGTGCTGTGTGTGTCTGGGGGTGTGCTGGGTGTGTGTATGGGTGCTGTGTGTGTGAATGTATTTTTTTATTTAAATTTAAATATTTTTTTTACTAATAAAAAAAAAAAAAAAATTATATCCCCCCCCCTCCCTTCTTACCTTTATCCTGGGAGGGGGGGGAGGGAGAAGATCAGTTCTCCCTGGGGGGTTGGGAGCCATGCTGCCTTCCCTGGTGGTCCAGTGGTGAGAGTGAACTTTAACCTGCGGGTTAGAGTTCACTCTCGCGAGATCTGAGCGTTGCCGCGGCAACGCTCAGAATCCCGCGAGAGGACCGGCGGAGCTGCTTGTTGGAGCTCCGCCGGGTCCTCCCTCCCTCCCTCACCATCCGGCGCGGCCGCATCTCACTGTCTGTGGGCCGGTGAGGGAGATCTTTGATCTCCCCACCGGCCCACGGAGGCACATAGCAGGGCCGGCGCTCGGATAGCGCTGGCCCTGCAGGGGCCGGCCGGGGAGATCCCCTGCCGGCCTCGGCCCCACGGCCATCGCGGCCCACCGGGCATTTGCCCGGTATGCCCGATGGCCAGTCCGGGCCTGCAACTGTGTGTCATTTGGTTGACTGATTTTTGCAAACACAAAGACTGTATTTTCACAAACCTATGTAGTATGGCTGACCTTTGGATAGTGCTTCATGGTCAGCCACATCATTATAACCTCACTAACGTAATGGAATTTGGGCTTTAAGTTGTGTTAAATTTCATTTTGGCCAACTGTAACATTATTTTAAAATCATTTTTTTTTTGCTGTACAGCCAATAAGAGAAGTAATTCTGATATTCCACAAGTTCTCACACAAGAAATGGGTGTTCATTTTTGGAAAGTGGAGGGGAGTGTGTTAGTATCATTATTCATCTAATTTAGGGAGGCCCAACAATCTAAAATGGAACAAGAACACTCTAAAGTTGTAAATACCGATCTGTCAATTAGACATCCATGGAGGTTTTCTTTCACTTCTAAACAGCAGAGGCTCTACCTAGAGTGTGCTTGCTTTCCCAATTATCCATTGTCACGGTTCACTCCTTAGTAGATATGCCTTCGTGCAGTACCTATACTCACCACTCTCACGGTTTGGCACTATTCCTCATTTCTTTTCATTTAGCACTTCAGCTGGTCCTTGTTTAGCACCTTTAGTTTGGTTTCACCCTCCCCTCTTGTTCAGATCATTCTTTCCTGGTTCCTGTGATTCTGACCATGCACTCTTTGGTCCTGTATCCTGCGTTACTTGGTCTTGTGTTCCAGCGTCCTCTGGTCCTGTGTTCCCGTGTCATCTGGTCCTGTGTTCCTGTGTTCTCTGGTTCTGTGTTCCTGTCCTCTGGTTTAGCATCCAGTGACCCTGACCCTGCTTCCTTTGATTGTGTATCCTGGTTCGGGCCTTGCTTCCTTATGACACTGGCTTTGGACCTATGTACTGTCTGTTGTTCGTGGTGGCTGCCCGGTCCTGCCCAAGAGTATTTCATATACCAAAAGACTGTTCCTTATGCTCTGCCTACACCATTCGTGCTAATCCTAAATTATTGTATATACTTGTTTTTGGCATTATATATTTGTATATACTTTGATATTTCTTTTTCTTTTTGTTTTCATAATATATATACTTATTATTTACTCTCATTCATTGTGTCTTGTCATTTATTCTCTGCAAATTGGGTTCCCACATTTAAAGGGATATTGCTGTCTCAGGACAGCACCCCTTCCTGTCCTGACATCCATGAGCTATATTACATCTCATGGTATAGCATAGGAAATTACATGATTTTGTTATTTCATGATGAAAAGTCATAATTTTACGAAAGACACAGAGGCTTAACCCTTTCTTTACTGTCCACCAATAGCATACAAACAGTAAGAAAAAATGGTAACAAAGAGATAAGCCACTCCCATATCAAGTCTCAGTATAATAGTCAGCACCTCCCCACATATTTCCTCTTTCTTTGGAGATGCAACACAAATAACAACAAAACAGGAACCAATGAATCAGTCCAACCACAGCAGAACAAGCGTCCCGAAATCCAGCCGGACTCCAATCAGGAACCAAAAATGAACTGGTACCAATCCATCAAAGAATAGAATCGCCAACAGTGAGGAGCCCATCACAGAACAATCGATAGACTTCCAGCCAATGGGTTGAAGCCTTGTGGGAAATAGCGAGGACCCCCAAACAGTACAGAATCAACCTGTGAAAACATAAAAACAGAAGCCCAACAGTTAAATCAGTACTTGAACCAAAGTGCGCATGCCAAGACATAACATATTGATAAACTAAATCAACACAGTGCCCATATCGCAAGACAAACCCACCAGACAAAACATACAGCATAGGCAGGTCATATAAGCATAATTGGTAAAATAAACACAGAGCGCATCACAAATACCTACCACCCCTTGGAAAACCACATGAGAGAGCAAATCAACAGGGAGGGAGAATGAAGTGAAATAAAAATAGAAGGGTGGGACAATACTCGCCTCATTGTCTTTTATAAAATCAAGACTTTTCATCATGAAATAGCAAAATCGTGTAAATTTATGTGAAAACATGGAGGCTCATATTGCAAGTTTAAAGCTGATCAATAACAGAAGAAATAGGGCGAGAGGCTGGTCTAAAGTAAAATTTGGGGAAAAATGGATTTGCAGGACCAGTCCGCCATCCTCATAAGGTCTTCCAGATGCGCCCCTGAAACCACCATAGACGTGGCTGAAGCCCCCTGGGAGGAATGGGCGCTAAAGATGGATGTATCCACACCAGCCAGCGACATCACCCATTTCACCCAGCGAGCCAAGGTAGCACTGGACGCAGGAAAAAGGTTGACAAACCAAGAGGAAAAGCTGAGGGGACGAAACCAAACGATGTGCACTCGTCCAAAGTTCATATTTCTGCAAACAGGTCATTGGACACAATGCCAGGGTAACTGGAAAACACGGATATGAAGCCGACCAAATATACGTCTTAGTGCATCTGGAGATGTTAAATGTCACCCCGTCCGGAGTGAAAAACCTAGCGTTGTAATCCAAGGCACGAACATCCGAAACCCGTTTGCATGAAATGAGGCAAAAAAGGGTGACCAATTTTGCGGACAACTGTCGTAAGAAGAGGTCCGAGTTAGGGGGCCAGGAAGTAAAGAGTGACAAAACGCAGGAGATGTCCCAAGTAGCCAAGTATCGAGGCCTAGGAGGGCGTGACAGTCGCGAACCCCGAAGCAAGCGGCACACCAAAGAATGCTGGCCTGCGGGACAGCCGTCAAAACCCTGATGGGCGGAGAAAATGGCCAATCTGTACAAGTTAATCGTGCGATAGACCCGACCAGCCTCGAATAACGAAGTGAGGAATTGGAGGATCGCAGTTACAGGTGCCAAAACAGGATCCATGTTCCGAGCCAGGCACCAGCCAGCCCAAGCTCTCCAAGCTGTCCCATATGATCATCTAGTCCCGGGAGCCAATGCGTCGAGTTGTGTCCGAAACCCCTTGGACTTCCCAAGAACCGTGGAAATCCTCCAAAAGAGAAGCGACAATGACCCATCCAGCAGGAGAGGGTGATGTCGGCCTGATGGGTCCAGAAGGAGGTCCGGGTAGGATGGCAGCAGTCTGGGCACATCCACTGCCAGCTCCAGGAGCTGTGAGAACCATGACTGAGTCCCCCAGAGCGGTATCAGCAGAATCAGGTAGGCCATTTGGTGACGAACTTGGAGCAGGACCTGAGGGGTCATGGCAAACGGAGGGAAGGCATAAGGGAGCAAGCCGGTCCAGTCTTGCAGGAAGGCGTCCACTGCAACCACGGCCAGATCCGGGCGCCAGCTGTAGAACTGTGGCAATTGGATATTGAGTTGGGAAGCCAAGAGGTCAATGGCAAAGGGACCCCAGAGGGACGAGATAGCGGAGACCGCCCCTACATCCAATCTCCAATCGCTGCTGTCCAACAGATAGCGTGAACTCCAGTCTGCATGAATGTTGTGGAGTCCCGGGAGGTATTCTGCCTTGACAACCAATAAGACCAAAAGTCCTTCGCCGCCGACTGCGTGCCGCCCATGTGGTTGGCATACCTGACCGCTGAGACATTGTCCATGCGCAGCTGGATGCATGCGCTGGCAGTCCAGTTCACAAAACTCTGGATTGTGAAGGAGCCAGCCAGGAGTTCTAGAGCATTGATGTGGAGTCGGGATTTGTCTTCCGACCAATGTCCCCCGGGGAGACTTGCGTCCGAATCCACTGTGAACTACGGTTGGGAACCGAAGATGGCTTTGCCATTCCAAGCTGAGAGGTCAATTCGTCTCAAGTCTCTGTGTCCAGAGAGATCATGTCCGCATAGGATGCTCCACTGCGGAAGTGTGCAATCTTCAGGTGTTTGGAGGGCATAGTAATGGAGAGGGGCTGGGAACACTACCTGGATTGAAGATGCCAGGAGTCCAATGATCCGTGCCAGTTGACAGAGCGATAACTGAGGGTGCGCTAGAGCGCGGCGTAACTCCTTGCGCATGGTCCGAATCTTGGATGGAGGAAGGCTCCCGGATTCCATTACGGAGTCTACGGTGAACCCGAGAAACTCCATGCATCGCGAAGGAGATAGGCAGGGTTTCTCCCAGTTGAGAAGGAAACCCAGGTGAGAGAGAAGGTCCATTGTCCATTGCAGGTGTCGCAGGAGGACTGAACGATCCTGTGCCATGATTAGGATGTCGTCCAAGTAGACAATTCCTCAACTGCGCAACCAAGCCATGACTGGGCGCATCAATTTCGTGAAGCACCAAGGTGCCGACGAGAGTCCAAAGGGAAGGCATGTAAAGCGCCAGGTGTCGCCTTTCCAGAGGAAGTGTAATAAGTCTCTGGACGTCTCGGCTACTGGGACCATCAAGTATGTGTCCTTCAGATCCAATTTCACCATCAAGTCATCGCGAAGGAGTAAGTCTCGCAGAAGGTGGATGCCCTCCATCTTGAAGTGGCAGTAGCACACCAAGGTGTTGAGGGGACGGAGAGTGATTAATTGAATTGGGTGCATCCGACTTCTTTTCCACCAGGAAAATGTTGCTGAGTACCCCTACATGGTACGTGGGGGCTAGTTCTATCGCCCCTTTTTCGCGAATGGGCCGACAATTCTGCGTCTGTCTGGATGCTGTCGTGCACGTAGAGCGCAATAGGGTGAGGAGGGGGAATGTGACACAACAGAGTGTCGACCAATTCTATGTGGAAACCCCGAACGGTGGTCAGAACCCAAACCTCTGAGGTGATGGTTGACCAAGTGTGGAAAAAATGACGGAATCTGCCCCCTACACAAACATTGGAAAAAACATGAGGTAGATGCAAGCTTACCGTAAGGGCGTATGGAACCGGAGTTCCCTCTGAAGCCTCTGGATTGCCATGGTCTTCCACAAGAAGGGAAGAAGGGGACTGGTTTCTCGCCTCTTGGTAGGGCATTCTCTGGGTGTAGGAGCCTCGTCCCGATCCACGGGAGTGGTAGTTGGAACAGACGTCCCATGAATCTGCTGGCCCTGGTAGATACCCAACCTTGAAATACCCTCTTCATGGAGGATTGGGCCTTGTCCAGGGCTGTAAAAGCTCCCACAAAACCCCCCAGGTCCTTTATGAAGGAGTCCCCAAATAACAGGCATCCTTGCACACCTTGGTGAGGGCAAGGTTGGCCAACTTTGGTTCAATTTTAAAAAGAATGGCTTTACGCTATTCTATGGACAGGGAGGTGTTAACACTGCCCACTATGCAGCCACCCAGCCACGGAGTTCTTCTGGGTCAACTTGCCTGTTCTTGGCTCTGGCGACTTCAGCCAGGTCAAACAAATGCTTGTCTTGGCATGATTTTAGTGCCGAATTCAGACCCTTGCAAGGATTCCATCCCAACTTGTAGAGGAATTGGGTCATTTTGGTATCAACTATAAGGATCGCACAGACTTTGCTAGGCACCAAAGGCCGTGCGCATTCAGCCCTAAGTTTATTATGTGCCACCTTACTGACGGGGCGTCGTACCCAATTCTCTAGGTATCTTGCCACATGGTCCACTGGGAGCCATTCAGCCTACCTCGGATGATTGAGAGCATCCGGGTCGAACATGGGTTCCCCAGATGGATCCATGAGGGTGGCACCCGCAGTAGCTGGGGAGTCAATCCAAGAGCCACTCACAGCCACCCATGATTGAGCAGGGATAAAAGGGACTCATTATCAGAGTCATACACGGACCCAGCATCAGCCTCCTCACTAGACCCGATTTCTGAGTCGGAGTCACTCTCATGTTGTGCTCTAGCACATTTCCACTGCCGCGCCCGTTCTGCCTGGCGTAGAAAGGCTCTTTCGTGTAATATGGGCATGCTATCATGGGTGGTCAAGGGTACATCTGTCATATGGGTTGTGGAGGCAGAGGGACTTAAATGCCTGGACTTGATGGTAGCCTTTTTAGGCGCTTCATCTGCAAGGTCTGAGACAGGATGCGTTATGAGCATCAGTGTGACCGAACTTTCTGCAGCCAGTGGGTGCGTGAGTAAGACCTGGGAGATGGTCTGGGAGATGGCAGAAGACATAGAGCCCATAGCAGCCATAATGGCGTCAGTGACTGTAGCGCCAGGGACTGAGCCTCATCAGGCAGACACATAGGGTCCAATGCAGATGAAGGGAAATTAGAACAGGAAGATGGGTTTCCCAAGTCCTGGGGTATGTCCATCTCACCACGGGAAAGGGGGCAGGCAGGCACCTTAAGTTTGGGCATAGTATTCTGTGAGATTCCCCAACAAATTATAAGGTTTACTGAACAAATAATTCAAACAAAATAAAACAGTACAGGCTAGTAGGAGTTAATCACCCCAGACTAGATATTCACCAGAGAGGGTAGAGATAGGGAAGCTCACCAGGGTCCAGACCAGCAGACAGGAAGAGACACAAGGTAGCACAGAGCCAGAAGGATAGGATGTCAGAAAATGGCCGCCGCAAATTCGCAAGATTCGCTGCAAAAAATCCTGTGAATTCGTCAAATTCACAAACTGAACGTTCGGTAAAAAAGGATGAATTTGTGGGAAGAAATAAACGAATAGTAAGACTATAGGAAACAGAAGAATGAAGGAAACCATTCGTGTAAAAGAGATGAACGTGGCAAACAGACAAACAATGCTATATGCTGGTAAAACAAATGAACAGCATGGATTTGTGATGAATTTAGCTGAATGGGCTGATTCATACACGAAAGCAGCTGAACAGAGAAGGTGAAACAGGCACAAAAGGGCACCAAACAGACAGGGAGAAGGGGGTAATAATAAATAATCAATAATTAATCAAATGTAGGTAAGAGTAAATATGTAATGTACTTATCTTTGTGTGGAGCAGCAAAGAAAGAGGAAATATGTGGGGAGGTGCTGACTATTATACTGGGACTTGATATGGGAGTGGCTTATCTCTATGGTTACCATTTTTTCTTACTGTTTGTATTCTTTGCTGCTATTGGTGGACAGTAAAGAAATGGTTAAGCAATATGAGCCTCTGTGTCTTGACATAAAATCCACAATTGCATGCTTGCTTTCCAGAACAGGCTACTCAGTGAGAAGCCTCTGATTGGTGTATTGCCTTGTGCAGACTAAAAGTATGTGTTGGAGAAGAGGGAATGGTTTGCAAAGGCTGCAGACAGTAGGTCTGTAGGTTTTGCAAGCAGTTTTTTCATATGCCCCTAAAGAAAACATGCCGTGGTGTATATCTACTTAATAGTTTTAAAAAATAAATATATTTTATAACAGTTTTGTTGCCTGCAGATTAAATGACCCTAAACTTTAGCATATGCATCCCACCATATGATCAGAACTGGATATTCCTGACATTAGACCCTTGCATAATTGACAGTGTGCGGCAGAAGGAAAATGGGTGAGTTTGAAAATGGGATACAGAGCAAAGCTATGGACATGGATTATCTCCATATATACTTTCTACAATGCACGAGTAAGGATGAATGGTTCCCTGATGGAAACCATATGCCACTCTAAATAGACTTTAAACACTGGACTTATCCACACTGTGGCAGAGCCTGTAAGTTCACAAGAACAACTGGTGCTAGACTCTCTTATACACCACCCACAACAAACTAAATGACCCCTGGCCACACTCTACTCCTTCCCTAGCCTCCTTCCCTGTAAAACTGTTCCAGGAATCTAGGACAGCCACAAAATGCTCAGCAGGATGCCTTGAGGTGCTCACAAAACAATGGTTATGAAAGATAGAGAAGATGAAAGCATTGGTGCCCAGGTGAGATGGGGTTATAGGGGAAGGTGGTAGCAGGTAAACACTGAGGGGTGGGCTGCTAATTAACTTGCTTGTCCATCTGGGAACTCGTGTCGGGTTGCTGGGGCACTTTGGAGTTAGACTATTTATCAGTCCTGAAGTAGGGGAAATTAAAAAGGAGCAGTAATCACCATATGTTTTATGCCTTCTGCTTGAGATTACTAAACAGTACTACAAATTACATTTTATGTTATGGTTGAAACTATTTGCTTTGCCAATGTCCTACAACAGCCTCTGTGCTTCTCCTATATATTGTAATGCTGTTACCTAAAAAATAAATTTAAAAAATGTAGTGTTGTGTAAGAAAAAACAGGATGCAGGTCTCGACGGAATATTGCCGGATTAAGCTTTTGAAATGATTTAATATTTTTGGATAAACTTTTAAAATATATATTAAACCCTGAAAAAATATACCATGTATATAGATTAATATATTAAAAATATCAAAAACATGACCAATTTTTTATATTTTACAAAATATTTAAATAATTTTAAGTTTATCCAAAAATATTAAATCATTTGGAAAGCTTATCCAATAATATTCAATGGAAGTCTCAGATTTCTAAAATAGAAACAGTGTGTATGTGAGAAAGAAACAGTGGGAAAGAAGCAGTGCATGTTAACAAACTGCAAAATATATGTGTAATTTATAATTTGGGCTGCTTTGGACTTATACCTCCCCTGAAGCCTACAGCACATGCATAGGTTTATTTACTAAAGTCCTACTACAAAACAAGACATTGTTCACATTATTCAAGAATGTCCAGATTCTGCAATTCAGTCCCAAAACAGACCAAATATTAAATTTTTAAAGAAAAGACTCAAAGTTAGAGATAGCAGCCAAATAGTTAAATAACCAATGAAAGTTTTAGGGCTAATTATAATAATAATAAAAAAAAAGAAAATACCTGTGTGAGTCAATATTTACAGATATAGACAAAGAAAGGGGTAGTATGCCCCATTTCTGATTTTTTTTCATGCATACTGTTCTGCAACAGAGCTGGGACGTTTATGCTTTTATGCAAAGGTATATTTGGGACCTAGAGCAGATTTGTGCATTGGCAACACCCCCTTGATACTTCAAATACCATAGCTTCCATGGTATAGTGTAGAGGTGAAAGGAAGCACTGGGTTTCAAAGAACAGCCACTCTGCATATTTTGTCCAAATCCATACCCATACTCTGTCCACCCCTCATTCTCAATTTGTCCACCCAGTTTTTATTCTGTATACCTACAAATCTTTTTTTTTTGTTTCAGGCGTTTATGTTTTTTCACATCTATTGTTTTTTTTTTCCCCAAAAGCATGTGTGGATTATATTTATGAAAAAAGCAAACATGACAATTTTGTATCTGTGAACCAGGGTCGGTAATTGGACCATGATGTCACCAGATATGCAACAGCAAAAAGGGGAGTTTTTTTTCCCTCTGGTGAAATTTACTGATGGGGAAAAAAAGAACGCATATAACAATCTACTTTAAGGGCGACTGACTCATGTTCCAGTAGCAAGAAATAACTTTTTAGTTTTTCCAAAAATTCTGATATTTTTCGTATACATGTGCTATTTTACAATGCAAAGAATCAATGTTGACATATTACTGGACATGACTGCAATGCAATATAGTTATTACACTGTAACGTAACGCTGGTCTCTCACAGACTATTTCCTCTGGTAGCCCAGGTGTGGCTCAGGAACAAGCAATAATCCCAGGCACAGTACCCACAGTGAGAGAATAATCCAGCAGCATAACAAGCACAATCAGCAGTAAAATCGAATAGTATCCCATCACCTTTCCCAATAACTGGACAACACACAGTATCAGGAGCAGAACTGAACTAACTTTTAAGTACACAACCCCTGCTTTTATGCAATGCTCCCGTGCAAGGGAGCCACCCACAATAATTAGTACATTAACCAATAAAGTACAAGGTACAACCCACTCATCTCCTCCCATCTGCTTATCTGTTAACAGAATTAAAATGTACATATTTTTCCCCAAGTTCTAGATGTACCCCAAATACATATTCAAAAATCACCCAGATCGGACCAGGGGTTCGGGAGTTATGGGGGTTAAAAAGTTAGGTGGAGTTCCCTTTAGGCCCACTGAAGCACAGCCTTCCAGCCCAAACCAGTTCCAACTAGTCTGGCAGTGTGCCTGGGACAACGCCCTGCTGGAGAACAATGGGACAGGAAACGGGGGGAGGGGTACACCTTCCTATACACAGTCTAATAGAAGTCCATACACTGTGCTTAAAGGGCCAGTAGCCGCATAATAAAAATCCATTATGCCCAAATACTGTCTTTAAAGGGCAATATCTCCAGGGCCATAGTCACATGGCAGGAGGTGGGCAACAAGCCCCTCCAAAAGCTCATGGCAAACTCTCTTAAAGGGGTGAGTTTGCTACATACACTTTACATTTTGATGGCTGCTGTGTTGTTCATTTCTTTGGAATCTTTATGTTCATATCATGCCATGACACTTGCAGCCAGTGTGCATCACCACACGGGGGAGTGCAGGATTTGACAAAACAACACCAAAGACAAAAGAATTACATGGTGACAACTGGAGTCAAAAGACCAAGACACAATGGCCAAATGACTACATAGTGTATCCAGTTGCACCGAAAATAGCAGCAGCAATGTGCCCAGGCGCAAAACATAATGAACAGTCACAAAACACCGATGTGGCGACCGCACCCTCCCCAACTGCACACACAAAGCAGATGGGAGGTGACTCCACCCGATCCACAAAAACAACATAGGCGCCATAGTGCTCACTCTCCATAACCTTTTTGCATGCAATTAATTAAATGAATATGTCTCCTCATATGAGCTCTACCATTGATCCTGTAAGTTTTTAATTCATTGCATGCAAAAACAAATAACACAAAGTATTGTCTGGTTACTTTTCCTTGTATTAGAGCATTATTTAGATGGTCTTTTCCTTACTGTTTTAGTGCAGAAATGTATTTATTAAATATAAGCTCGTGTCGGGTTGCTAGGGCACTTTGGAGTTGGTGTTTACTGCTCCTTTTTAATCTCCCCTACTTCAGGACTGATAAATAGTCTATATGTTTTATGCCTTCTGCAATACCCCAATTGAAACAGTTGCTTGAGATTACTAAACAGGACTACAAATTACATTTTATGTTATGGTTGAGACTATTTGCTTTGCCAATGTCCTACAACAGCCTCTGTGCTTCTCTATATATTGTAATGCTGTTACCTAAAAAATAAATAAAAGAAATGTAGTGTTGTGTAAGAAAAAAATAAATTAAAAAAATGTAGTATTGTGTAAGAAAAAAATGTAGTGTTGTGTAAGAGACATTGTATTGGACAATGTCTCTCACACCGTTGCACACAAAATAAGCACAGCATTGTAAGAGTACACAAACACAGAACGCCTAAGAGGAAGCAGACTTCAGGTAAGTAACATCTTTAAACTATCATTTGAATTTGCCCCTGACATATGCATGCATGAACACAAAATATGAGTGTACTTTTGTTGTGAAATCCAAACTGAGGAGCATAGGAGATGTATCTGTCATCTCTCCCAATTAATTGGCAACTGTCATGATGTCCATCCTTTCTCAGCTCACATTATGCATGATGGAAGATCAGGTCACTCAGATTACACAGCATTGCTTTTCTCACCCACTGTGCAAGGCTTCTCTTTTGGGGTTTCAGCCAACTTGGTTGACTCCTTCTTCCCCTGTGGTGGACCACTTGGTTGGTTGGGTCGATGCCTGTAGTTGTATGGTCTTCTGAAGCCTCAGCGATTTTGTTGCTGGTCTGGGGCCACTGACTCAAACTGGTTTTCCTTGTTTTCAATCTCACCAGTTGGTGGAAGTGGTCTTGTTTGATTCATAGGTCGGTGGTATCTTGGACGGTAGTTAGCCGTCTGACGCATGGGTTGCTGGGTTTGAGCAACTTCGGGTAATCCTTCTTTCACTTCACCTTCTCTCATTATGATTTTGGGGTCTGCTTCACTTGGGTTGCAGGATGGGCAGGCCTTTGCAGGCAAGATTTGCCCTGGAGGGGTTTTCTACTCCCCAGCACGGTGCTAACGTGTCGTTCCGCCTGTTGCGTAGTCACCAATGCTTTTGCCACTCTCGAATCTTAAATCAGAGTCACTGGGCTTGCTTTATGGTTTTGCAGGTTTAAGTGCTGCACGGCTTTTCTCCTCTGGGGTTTCACGAGGCAGGGGATATTGGCGCGGGCTCTGCGCTGCCGCCATCTTGGAAGGTAGGACTTAGGAGTGCCGTGCCTCTCGTTCTCCACTTCTCTCAAGCTCTCCGCAGTGGGGGACCGACATAACCCCCTGCTGGACCACAGGGGGGGGGAACGGGACTGGCAGGCATCTCAGGGAGTCAGTGTGTGGCAGCCGCGAAAAGAGACAGGGCAGAGTCCGTCCACCCTGCTCCCCTCTCGAGTAGGCCACAGTCCCAGAAGCTTCATTCAGCCCCTCAGGGTCCAAAAGCTCCCGATCTCGGGGTCTGCCACCGTGTCCACCGCTGTGTGCGAGTTTCCTGGGCTCCCTTGATTCTAGGAATCAAGGGATATTATTTGAAGTTCCCTCCCTCTCAAATTATCCACCTTCAGTACACTAGTGCAGAATACATATACACAGTTTAGAACATTTTAACAAAGAGGATATGCTTTAAAAAATATATCAAGCCCAGAGGGATCGGAGGCATTGTTATGCCTGGAAGACAGTGACCTCAAAGAGGTAATTCGCAACCTACCCTCCAAGGCTGATATAGCGGCCATGCTGGACAGATTGGAAGTTTCCTTCCAAGCCAAAATTACATTTTTGGGGAATGATATCCGCAGGTGGGCAAGAAGGTCCAAGTTTTGGAAGATGATACTAACCTCACAAGTACAACACTGCCACTTTTCCCTCACCTGGTGCTCAGCGGCTGGAAGCTTGCAGTCCTGACTGTCTCAGCATATAGTCTGGCACCGGCCGTTGCATATCCACGGGCAGAAATAACCCAGCGTGCGCGCACGTGACCCCGAGCGTGCTCACGCACGTGACCGCGGGTGTGCTCGCGCACCTCACAGGCACATTTTGGAGCCAAAATACCGGGCTGACCAATGGGAAATGGAGGATGGATATAAAAACCTAGTCTGACCTCCACTCAGTGCCCTGTCGTGGTTTCCCATGTGGTTGTCCGAGAGCGCGTTCCTGCTTATAGTTTTCTACTGGTTTTTGACTTTGGCTTTGCTTATTGACTTCTCTGTATTCTGGTATCCTGACTCCTGGCTTTCCTCATCGTTGCGTCCCTTTCTGTGTTCCCTGACCTCGGCTAGTATTTTGACTATTCTATGTACGTTAAATTCGGCCATTCTAAGGACCGGTAATACGTTACTTATTTGTCATCCAGGCTATACAGTTCTACGTGCTGGATCATACAGTAATCCTGATATTACGACATGGCCATAGATCCTGTAGAACTGTGTCAGCATATAGCTGCTTGCGAGAGGAAATTAGAGGAGAATGATCACCGCATGGATCAATTCGCTCAGGCTTTCAGTATGCTTCTCGAAAGAACGGCGCATCTGCAGCCTGCATCGCCTCCTCCTATAGCACCTCAAACCTGTGTACCTCCAACCACTGTTAATAGGACTCCCAGCATCTCCTTAACGCCATCCCTACATTTTGATGGCAATATCCAGGAATGCAGGGGATTTCTTAATCAGGTGGAGTACCATTTTGAGGCCTCACCAGGGTTGTTCCCCACGGACAGAGCAAAAATTGGTTAGCTAATGAATCAATTAAAGGGCAAGGCCCTTGCCTGGGCTAATCCGTTATGGGAGAGTAATCAGAGCTGTGACGAGAGCAATCTCGCCACATTGCATTGGAGAAGCCTGGTTGCTCGCCTGTTGCCTTTGGATTATGGCCCCATGTTAAAAGGCATGATTTTCCGCTGCAAAGACAAGAAAAGCGGGTCATTTGGTGCTTGCCCTGTTTGAGCAGTGATACCCCAGATAGCTATGCCATGGAGCCCATTCGTATAATGAAAGACTATGGGAAAGACTTTGGCTCCATGGCAATTGAACTGTATGTGTGTGCTCTGAGCGCCATTCAGTAATAATGTGCGCTCAGACCTAAGCTATCTGGGCATATGTTGCATGTCTGTATTTTATGTCATAAATGTAACCTTGTGTATTTTGTTTGTATTTTACTGTCTTTTTGCTGCCATGTGTTCAATGGAGTTTTGCCTCTGTCTTTGGAGATAATTGGATTACTTCACAATTATCTCCAGGATAGAAGACTCCATGGAACTGGTTTTGGGCAGAAAAGCCATGCTTCCTGTGGTCACAAAGGACTACGATCTATCTTTTGAACCACTGGACCAATTTGTATGATTTTGACGTATGTTTGTATTTGCTGATTCTGAAAATGTAAGTTTTATGTGAATGTGATGCATACTTTTCTTTTTTTTTCAATTTGACAATTTTTATTTTCCATATAGAAAAAGGGGGGGGGAAGGGATACAAAAATAATGAGGGGGGGGGGGGATGAATGGGGCAGGGTGGAATAACAAAGGTTCCACTCATGACATTATACTTTATACAACATTTTCACTTTATACATTACACAGGTTATTAGTATTTATAAACATGACTACAACCTTGTCCGGCCTTTCTGTATAACCAGCTTATTGTTTTGGCTCTTTAACATGTATCTCCAGATGCCGGTCTGGCTGAAGTTACCTAGTATACCATTAGTGTTGCAAAGGTGGGGATGGGAATCACAGACAACAAATGTGGGGTATGATGGGGTGGGGTTAGTTGGTACCGTGTGTATTTCCAACGGTCATTATATCCCACTTTATTTAGTACAGCCGTAGTTTGGATAGTTTAAACAGTGTCGGCGGGGCGCTATCCATGCACCTCAGCCCGGAGGTGTCCACATGTTTACCAGCCTGTCCTGCGCTCGTTGTCGTGCCTTTTTACCGTGTGGCCTATGTCAATGAGTTGGACAGAAGGAGGTGGTGGGGGGGGAGTGGGGGGGGTCCAGGTGCTCACCCGGGGGGGGAGGGGTATGAGGGGAGTTAGCTTAAATATATACACTGGTGGGTTGTTTGTCTCGTCTGTATGTGGTACATCTACCTGGTTTCTTTTGAGAAGGGTTCGCTGTACCTGTTTGATCTCTCATCACCGGCCTCTTTCCACTGTTTCCCGGGGTATACCCTCTCAGATTGCGTTGGTGAGGCTAAAGAATCTTACTCATCCCCAGTTGTTTGGGACTTCACCTTGTTCCAGTATTGTTCCCAAATTTTCCCCGCCTCCATAGTTGCTACTCCCGTCCCCAATTGTTGGGCCGCCATGCGTTCATATTCCCAATTCTTTTGGATCTGGGTAACTAGCTCCGTTTTTGTGGGGATGTTCCGTGATTTCCAGTTTTTTGCTATTAGGTTACATGCTGCTATCAGCGTGTGGAATAGGAGTTTGGAGTGGACCTTGGTCAGGCCTTCTGGCCATATGTATAAGAGGCATGTAGCCGGGGTCAGGGTCATCTTTGCAGGAAGCAGTTGGTCCACGATGGTGCTCACCATGGCCCAGTAGGGTTGCACGTCTTTACATGTCCACCAAATATGTATTAGTGAGCCTGTGTCTAGCTGGCATCTCCAGCACTGAGTAGACATGTTCGGGAACATGTGTGCTAGCCGTGTGGGGACCAAATACCACCTGTATTGCAGTTTTCTCACTTGTTCAAAGTGTGTAATGCAGGCTGTGTTGCCCTTGTGGATTGTGAAGGCTCTGGACCATTGGGCCTCCGTGAAGGTGCTGCCAAGGTCTTTGTGCCATGCCTGTATAAAGTTGTCTGTGGATGCGTGAGTGCCCTCAAGCAATGTGCTATATATTTTTGAAATGCTTCGTCTGTGTGGCTTGCCCGTGAGGCACCACGTGTCAAAGTTTGAGATCATGGGTGTCATAGGTGGAGTCTTGGGTTGCCGTAGGGTGGACTTGAGCTGCAAGTATGAGAAAATTGCTTTACTCGGTAGGTTGTACTGTGTTTGTAGGTCCGGGAACTGTTTTAGGGATGTACCCTTGTATAAGTCGTGTATGTGTGTACACCCTGCATTCGTCCAAGTCCGATAGTCAAATGTTTTGTTCCTCAGGTGGATACTATACATTGTCGATGCTAGCGATGTGGTTCCTGGGCCACTGAGGTGCGTTCTATATGTGTCCCAGGTATGCAGCATTAGTTTGGTGGTCTCTAGCATGGTCGGTGTTGTTGGCCTTAGGTGTTTTGGCACCCAAAACAAGTGGTGCATCCCTGCTCTACACGTCCATTGGGATTCAATGGCTACCCATTGTGGTGGGTTATCTGCCCTGTGTGTCGTGGCTAGCGCTGCTAGAATGGCCGCCTTGTAGTACAGTTTGACGTCTGGGAAGCTCATACCCCCCCTCTCCGTTGTTCTTTTTATTGTAGAGTAAGCCACTCTGGGTGTTTTGTTCGCACACACGAATCTCGTGATGATTTTTTGTAGTTTGACCATATATTGCCTAGGTATAGGGATTTGCAGCGTGCGGAATAGGTATTGTAATTTTGGCAACAGTGACATTTTAAATGCCGCTATGCGCCCATGCCACGAGTGGAAGTCACTGTTCCATTGGTCTAACGTCTGAGAGATTTCCTGCAGGAGTTTCTCATAATTATATTTAAACATTTGGCCGCTCGTCTTGGCTAGCTTAATCCCCAGGAATGTGATATAGTCTTCCCTCCAGTCAAAGGTGAAGGAGTTCGTCAGTGTTTGTAAAGTATGTCCTGGCAGATGGATTCCCATAGCTTGTGTTTTTGTGAGGTTTAATTTGTAGTAGGATACTTTGTTATATTCTCGTATGCACTGTAGTAAATTCGGTAGGGATATTATTGGTTGCGTCAACGTCAGGAGTATGTCGTCTGCGAATAGATTAAGGGTGTACTCCCTGTCCCCCACTTGGACCCCATGTATATCAGGGTGGGCTCTGATCACTGCAGCCAGCGGCTCCAGTGCCAGTACATATAGCAGGGGGGACAGGGGGCACCCCTGTCTTGTTCCATTGGTAATGGTTATCTTTTTTGACACAAAACCCGAGTTAAGTACTTGGGCTCTTGGTGCCGAATACAATGCCCTGACCACTGAAATAAACCCCTCCGGCATCCCGTACCTCCTCAGGGCCGCCTGCAGAAATCCCCACCCCAGTCGGTCAAAGGCTTTTTCTGCGTCCAGTGAAAGCAGAACCCCCCCTTCCCGTTTCGCCTCTAAGCTTTGCATGAGGTCGAGGACTTTTCTGGTGTTGTCTGCCCCCTGGCGCCCCGTCACAAATCCCACTTGGTCATCGTGTATGATGTGTGGTAATATCGGGCTTAGCCTCATAGCGAACAGTTTCGCCAGTAATTTAGTGTCAGTATTAAGGAGGGATATGGGTCTAAAATTTTGTGGATAATTTGGGGGTTTGCCAGGCTTGGGCAAAGTGATAATGTGGGCGAGCTGCATTTCCTCCGGTAGGGTTTGTGTTCGCACGGCCTCATTGAAAACTTCTGCTAGGCATGGGGCCAATATATCTCTAAATTTGCTATAGTAAGAGTTGGCAAATCCATCAGGGCCCGGGGCCTTGCCTCTTGGTAGCGACTTTATGGTGTCCCCTACCTCCTCAGGGGTGACTGGTCGAGTAAGGGTGTCTTTCTGTTGGGCTGTCAAAGTCGGGAGGTTGATTTTGTTTAGGTATGTCTCTATCTCTGCCGTTGTCGGTGTGGGTATGGTTGCATCGTTGCTGAGATTGTACAGGTCCCCATAGTATTGTGCGAACTCATCGTTAATAGTGAGCGGCGACATAGCTTTCCCCCCTGCTTTCGTGTGTAGGTACGCTATTTTCTGTGACTGTTGTCGCTTTTTTAACCTTGCTGCCAGTAGTTTACTCGCTCTATTCCCCTGGGCGTAGTGTGAGGCTTTCAATTTCCATAAGTTGTGTCCTACTTTAGTTAGCGCATGTTGGCGAAGTTGATGGCGCACTAGGGCTATTTGTTCTTTTAGCTGTTGTGTGGGGTGAAGTTGATTTTGTATCGTCAGTGTGTAAATGTCTTTCTGCCACTTCGTCACTTGTGTCTGTGTCTTCCTTTTAATGTATGATGCTTGTTTTATAAGGAGTCCACGGGCAACTGCCTTATGTGCTTGCCAAATTGTGTGGTGTTGTAAGTCGGGGTTGGCATTGTCTGTAAAATAAGTTTGTAGGGACTCCGCTAGCGTTCCCGAGAAGGTTTTGTCTGTCAGGAGGGTCTCGTTAAGCCGCCAGGGGCTCCTATGTTTGAAGTCATAAGTGTCCCTCAAGATTAGTTCTATAGGGGCATGGTCAGACCACACTATCTGTCCCACCCGACAGTCCACTACCTGCCCTAGTGTGGTTCCCTCCACTAGGATCGCGTCGATTCTCGAGTATGTATTATGAACCTGCGAGTGGTGGGTGTACTCTTTGTCTTCTGTGTGCGTGACTCTCCATGCATCATAGTAGTGATGCATTGACAGTAATTTGGTCAGGGCCGCGCTTTGGCGCTTAAGTGATTTATATCGCGGGCTGGTTCGGGAGAGAGTAGTGTCTACAGCTGGGTTTAGGACATGGTTCAGGTCCCCACATATAATTGTAGTGCCTTGTTGGATGTGAGAGATTTTGTGTATCATTCTGTGTATGAAATTCCTCTGGTTGGTGTTTGGGGCATATATATTCACTATGGTATATAGTATATTATTTATGTGTCCCACTATTATAACGTATCTGCCTTCTGGGTCGGTGTCCTCAGTGATCAGAGTGAAAGCGACTTTTTTACTGAGCAGGGTGGTGACTCCCTTGGATTTGGTCGTGGACGTAGAGTGGAACTGGTGAGGGTAGGAGTTGGTCAGGATGCTGGGATGGGACGTGCCCCTGAAATGTGTTTCCTGTAAACACACGATGTCCGCATCCGCTTTACCTACATCCCTGCTAAGAAGGTGTCGTTGGACCGGGAGATTGAGTCCCCTTACATTGTGGCTGTAAAGCTTAAGGTGGTTTGTATGGGAAGGTATTGTGAGAGTTTGATATGTATTGGTCTATGATGGGGCTCTGCCCTCCCCAGCTACGGCGAGCTGGGCAGATCCCACTAAGATAACCCCTGCGGGTATTTGGTAGGTATGTCTGTTCGGTGCTTTGTATCCAGTGGAGAGGCGCTCGTGATGCTACAGTGTAGATGGTAGGTAATACGTGCGGGCCACCCACTTGGCCCGAATTGGTTGTAGGGGGGCTAAGGGAGGGAAACATAACAAGAACAGAACTCAATATTACATAAAATGCAAACCTATATACAATCATAAACAAAAATGCCAGAATAATGGCAAGGTTCCCATTTAGGGAGCCATGGGGGTCGGAGCGTAATGCTTCGATCCTGCGTGGGGGAGGTGTGCTGCCGCGAGTGCGGCCCTCTTGTTTCTTTTAACATGGTGATTGACCCAATTTGCACTGTTATGCCGTCTTCTTATTAGCTAACACTCTTTAGTGAGCCATCGCTCTACATTATTAGGCGTATTTGGTCTTTGGGGCTTGGTAAGACTTTTTTTTATTTTTTTATTATTGGGGGTGTGGTATTATTGTATTGTTATACTTGATATATTTTTTTATTTTTTTTTTAACTTAGCATTAACACCGTTGGGAGAGGTTATCCCTAACTCTGTACGGACTTAGCTTAGGTCTACACATGACCCTTAAATATCTGGTTATAACTTTGTCTGGCTATCTGACCTCAATTGCTCCCTGGTTATCATACCCCTAGTCTGGCTTGGATAGTCTAACATTAAATCACACCAAAATCAAACAATATGCCTAACATGGCTATTTTGCATTGCGTGATGCAGCATACTGTATACTTGCGGGCGACTTGAAAAGTTCGTATTTGTTCCCCGTCCAGGGCTATTTTCGCACCCGCTTCCATGTGGAGGTGTGTCGCTCGTGCGATGCAGGCCTCTGTGGTTCTGGGCGCGGGGTGATGCCCCATTCTCTCAGCTTCAGGAGACCTTCCTCTGGGGATGTGATGGCTGTAAGGGTGCCGTTGCGTTGGACCAGCAACTTGGTTGGATATCCCCACCTGTATGCGATGTTGCTGTCTCGCAGAGCCACTGTGATAGCGCCAAAAGTCTTTCTCTTCCTCAGCGTCATAGCAGAGATGTCCGCGAAGATTCCCACCTTTTGGAATTCAGTAGGTATGTCTTTTCGTGTGCGGCTCGCTCTCAAGACCGCCTCCTTTGCATGGTAGTAATGCATCTTCAAGACGATATCTCTTGGCGTATCAGCAGGTAGGTATTGGGGCTTGGCCACTCTGTGGATGCGATCCAACAGCAGGACACTCTGTGGCAGATCAGGGACAAGTGTGTGGAAAAGCCCCGTTGCGTACGCCTGCAGCTCTTGCGGGCCTATGTCTTCAGGCACGTTCCGCAGTCTCAGGTTACTGCGGCGTGCGCGGTCTTCCAAGTCCGCAATTTTGGCCTCATATTCTTGCATCTTATCCCATACTTCCTCCACCTTATTAGATAGGCGGTTGTGAGCCTCCGATTGCGCCTCCATCTGATTCTCCAGATCTGAGGTGCGTGACCCCAATTTGTGGATGTCTGCACGGAGGTCTGTGAATGAGCGTTGCAGTGTTGTTTGCAGTTTCGCCTCCATATCGTCGAGCATAGCCTGCATCCCCTCCGTAGTGAGGACGCGGCCCGAGGCCTCTGTAAGCATTCCTTGGGCTCCTTCCGTTTCGGCGCCATCTTGGAGGTCTTCCTGTGTTGCCGCTCCCCGCGTGTGCCCTTGTTTGGCGTTGAAAAACAGGAGTTTGTCCTGTTTCTCGGTCGCCCGCTTTGCCTTGGCGTGGGACATGGTCGGTAGCGCCTGGTGCCCGTTTATTTTGTCCGGTTTGGGTCTAATTATCGTGTGAGGGCCTTTACTGCCGCGGAGCTTTTAGAACATGCGACCGCTCGCGTTCTCGTCCAGGCCACGCCCCTGTGATGCATACTTTTCAAGTTATGAATAATGTGGAAAAATTGTATTTCTCTGCTTGTGCTAAATTACATTACCCATTGTGTAAGGTAATTGAATCACAAGCAGAGGGGAGGAATTTGTGTGGGAGTGTTTGAGTGTATTGTATGTGTTTATTGATTGTGTTCCAAAACCCTGTGGGTGGTACTAATGTGTAAGAATGTGTACAGAAGCACAATAAACCCACAGCTCTGACTGTTCACTGCTTGACCCTCAACACGGAGCTTTGTCTCGTTCTTGGGGGGATTTATTGTATGCTGTTCCAGTTCGACTGCTAGGAGTGTAAACCTATTCGTATGGTTTTTCCTATTCGGCTGTTTACAGCATTCGTATGGTTTCCTGTTCGGCGGATTGGTGTTCTGCAGTAGCTGTGCCTGCATCTCTGGAAGGGGACGATCGCCTAAACGGTTTTAACCCCTTGTGTGCTGAAATTGTCCGTTACAGGAGCATTGCTCATAATTACCAGGAATTCCTTGCTGAATTCAAACTCACGTTTGAGCCATTGGGTAGAGAGGATGACGCCTCCACTGCCCTTATGCACATCAGACAAGGTAACCAGTCTATCTCGGATTATGCTATTTGTAAAATTTAGCTTGGATTGGTGTTAACGTAGAATCCTCTTAATTTCTTCTTGTCTTCAGTTGATTGATATATATATACGTCTTTTGTATATATAGTCTTGGGCCAAATGCTCGCCACAATAATATATGTCTATATTATTGAAAAGTACTAATACGCAATCTGACTTACGGTTTCTTCATGTTTATTCTTAGTTACTGATACATAATAAAACATAATAAATTATGTTACAGGATAATGGACATTCAACAGCAGATGGTAATTGCTGGACTTCTTTAAATCCTTACATCTTTACATCGAGAGAGAGAGCCAGAGCCAAGACTCAAGACAGAGCGACCTCGTGTCCCTCTGTTACTATAAAGATGTGCTAATACTAACGTCAGCATTTAACTCTAGCCATTTAAGGACAAAACCCCCACATCCACATTCCAGAGCTCTCGGACACAGAAAGCCTTGTGACTTATACCATCTGTTACTTATGTCAATCCACACATCCATATATAATCAATAGAAACATAGAATATGCAATATTCTACACTATTGAATTCCGACTGGACTAACAATGGGTTAATCTCAGCATTCAAAAAGGGTCTCTCTGAGACTATACTAGATGAAATAGCCGCTAAAGATTATTACTTCTCCATCATGTCCTTTCATATTAGGGTTTCCGTGGCTGAGTAAGCACAATCCCTATATTGACTGGGCTAATGGGGAAATATTGGAATGGGGTAAGAAGTGTATGGGGAGATGTATAAAACCAGTAATAAAGAGATTGGGTACTATTGACCTTCCCACTACCACTCTCCAAACTCCTGGAGTTCCCATACAATACCGAGAACTTCAGGAGGTGTTTAACAAGGCTCAATCCGATGTATTGCCTCCCCACAGAGCATATGACTGTGCCATTAATCTGTTTCCAGGCACTATGCCTCCTAAGTTTATGCTGTATGTCCCCAAGAATCTTTGAGCAAAAAGCACATAAGAAAGTCATCCTCACCAGCTGGTGCAGGATTCTTTTTTGTTTCAAAAAAGGGTGGTGAGTTACGCCCTTGCATAGACTACAGGGCACTTAATAAAATCACTGTAAAAAATGCATACCCTATCCCACTAATTTCCAAATTATTCGATAGACTGCAGGGACTTAAAGTATTTACTAAGCTCGACCTTAGGAGCGCTTACAATTTGGTTAGAATTAAAGAGAATCATGAGTGGAAGACGGAATTTAATACCCGTAGTGGACACTATGAATATCTGGTAATGCCATTTGGGTTATGCAACACCCCGGCCTTATTCCAAGACTATAAATGGAATTCATTTACTCATTTGTCTTGGTTTATTTGGACGATATTTTGGTGTATTCCCCTGATCTTCAAACTCACCACTCCCATGTAAAACATGTTCTGCAGACGTTGTTGAAAAATAAACTTTATTGTAAATTAGAAAAGTGCATTTTTGACCAGTCCACTTTTTGGGTTACAACATCTCTGCATCTGGGTTTCAAATGGATCCTAAAAAACTAGAGGCTGTACTACACTGGCCATTACCCTCTGGTTTAAAAGCCATTCAAAGGTTTATTGGTTTTGCCAACTATTACAGAAGATTCATCAAGGGATTTTCTTCTGTAATAGCCCCCATCACTAATATGACTCGCAAAGGGGTTAGTAGCACGGTATGGTCCAAAGAGGCTGTGAATGCTTTTGAGACTCTTAAACAAAGATTTGCCTCTGCGGTCATACTAAAACATCCCAACACCAGTAAACCTTTTATATTGGAGGTTGATTCATCCGAGACAGGGGTAGGGGCTGTTCTCTCTCAGAGAGAAAGCCAGGGAACACCATTGCATTCTTGTCGCTACTTCTCCAGAAAGCTGTCTCCTGCTGAGCACAACTACGATATTGGCAATAGAGAACTGTTGGCCAGTATTCTTGCCCTCAAGGAATGGCGACATCTTTTGGAGAGTTCCAAGGACCCCTTGTTGATCATAACCAACCACAAAAACCTGGCATATATAGGGGATGTCAAACTTTGTCTTCCAGACAGGCTAGATGGTCACTGTTACTTTCACTATTTAACTACCTCATTACTTATAGACCTGGTTCTAAAAATACCAAGGCTGATGCCTTGACCAGGCAATTTGATAATGAATCAGCTCCGGAACAGGTGACCTCTCCTATTATTCCGCCAGATTGTATTATTGCTACTACTGTCCTCTCACTATCTTCTCCACTGCTTGGCACCATACTGGAGGCCCAGCCTCAGGTGCCCAGTGGTAAACCGTGTGATAAACTGTTAGTTCCCCTATGTGAAAGGGTTAATATCATGAAAGTGTTCCATGACAATGTAACTGCTGGACACCCGGGAATCAATAAGTCCACTGCCGCAATCACTAGATAATTTTGGTGGGATTCACTCAGGAAAGATGTAAAAGAGTATGTGCAGGCATGTTCTCTGTGTGCAGTTTCTAAGGTGACTCATGCACTTCCTTGTGGCCTGTTGCAGTCTCTTCCTGTTCCTGAGATTCCATGGTCCCACTTGTTCATGGACTTTATTGTTGAGCTTCATAGCTCTGCTGGGTTCACTACTATACTCATGGTTGTAGACCGATTTTCTAAGATGGCTCAATTCATTCCTCTCAAGAAGTTGCCATCTTCGCAAGAATTGGTCCTAATTTTCATACGTGAAATTGTCCGTTTGCATGGCATCCCTCACAATATTGTGTCTGATAGGGGCTCTCAGTTTGTGTCCAGGTTCTGGAGGGTGTTCAGTAAACAATTGGGGATTGATCTCTCCTTTTCCTCCTCCTACCATCCACAGACCAATGGAACAGCTCAGAGGGCTAACCAGTAATTAGAAGTTTATTTGCTTGTTTTGTTAATAGCACACAGGACAATTGGTCCAAACTACTCCAGTGGGCCGGGTTCGCTAGAAACAATGCTGTTCATGACTCCTCTGGGCACAGTACATTTTTTTGTCAATAATGGTAGGTATCCTACGGTTCTCCCTGCGTTTTTTTCTGATACTGCCATTCCTGCTCTGGATGAGCTTCTTTCCTCCATTCGGGATACCTGGGTTAAGGTTCAAACTGCTCTGGGGGCTGCTGCTGAACGCTTCAAACATTTTGCTGATAAGCGTAGGAGTGCCAACCCGGTGTACCAAGTGGGTGACCGGGTTTGGTTGTCGTCTCGCAATATCATGCTTAAGGTCCCTAGCATGAAGTTTGCCCCCAGATTCCTTGGTCCCTATAAAGTGCTTCATAGGATCAATCCAGTGTCTCACTCTCTGGATCTTCCTGCATCTTTAGGGGTTCCCAAAACTTTTCATGTGTCCTTAATCAAATCTCTTGTCTGCAATAAATATACTGTTCCTTGTGTTCCTCCCCCTCTGATAGTGGTGGTTGGTCAGGAAGAGTATGAGGTATCTTCTATTGTGGATTCTAGGTTTTCTCGGGGCACTTTACAGTACTTGGTGGATTGGAAAGGTTACGGTCCTGCTGATCATTCTTGGGTTTCGGCTCCTGACCTACATGCAGGCCGTAAAATCTGCGCTTTTTATGCCAAGTTTCCTCTCAAGCCCAGTCCTGCCCGCCCGGTGGGCGGTCTTCAGGTGGTGGGTTATGTCACATATCCATCTGACACTTTTTCCTCACCTGGTGCTCAGCGGCCAGAAGCTTGCAGTCCTGACTCTCTCAGCATATGTGACGAGAGCAATCTCGCCACATTGCATTGGAGAAGCCTGGTTGCTCGGCTGCTGCCTTTGGATTATGGCCCCATGTTAAAAGACCTTGTTTCCCCTGCAGAAAAGACTTATTCATGCTTTTCTGCCCGGTGTCCGGTAGATTCAATCTACCGAACAACCGCACGAATGACTAGACCACCTGGGACCTGGAGTGTGCCGGCAATTAGCCTCCCAGAAGCTGCGGTTAACCGCAGCTTAATTGACGAATACTGGGTGGCCGCCATTCGTATACCGAACACGAGGTCGCGGCCATTTTAAACACGCGAACGAACAGCGGTGTTCGACGCTTAACTCATGGAACTAAAAACGGACACAGTTTGGTGCGAACACCGCTGAAGCCGCCGACCTCCCTTCTTGTTCGGTGGAAGTGCACGAACGGCCCGGTATTCGGTAGTTGTACCTGACTGCACTATACCCCAGATAGGAATCCCATGGAGCTCATTCGTATGAGAACTGACTTTGTGAAGACTTTGGCTCCATGGCGATTAAACTGTATTTGTGTGGTCTGAGCGCCATTCGCTTAATAATGTGCACTCAGACCTGAGCTATCTGGGGATATGTTAAATGTATATATTCATTGTAACTTGTGTCACATGTGTATTTTAATAGTAATTCTTATTTTAGTATCCCCGCGTGCATAATGGCGATTTGCCATTGTCCTGGGAGATAATTGAATTACTTCTCAATTATCTCCAGGGCAGAGGGGAGGAAGCCATGATGCATTGTGGGAATATAATGTGACTGTGTGTCCTATTTTGCTGATTGTTTGTCTTTTGTCACAGTCTCCAATTTGGTCCCCTAGGGGAGTGTCCACCAGGTGTGAGACTTGCATGAATACTGGGCAAGTAGCCCTCATTAAACAGACCACTGCTTGACCCTTAATACGGAGCCTTGTCTCGTCTTTGGGGGGATTTACTGAATGCTGATAGAGACTGATTGCTAGGAGTGTAAGCCGCTTGGGAAACTATTCGTCTGCTAGCAGCGATTCGTATGGTTCCAGTTCGTGAGTTTGGAGTGTTATATTGTATGCCGTTCGGGAGTTTGGAGCATTCCCTTACATGCGGTTCGGGAGTTTGGTGTTCTACAGTAGCTGTGCCTGCATCTCTGAAAGGGGACAATCGCCTAAACGGTTTTAACCCCTTGTGTGCTGAAATGGTCCGTTACAGCATACAGTCTGGCACTGGCCGTTGCACATCCACGGGCGGAAATAACCCGACGCGCGCACCGCACACGCACATTTTGGAGCCAAAATACCGGGCTGACCAATGGGAAAGGGAGGATGGATATAAAAACCTAGTCTGACCTCCACTCAGTGCCCTGTCGTGGTTTCCCATGTGGTTGTCCGAGAGCGCGTTCCTGTTTATAGTTTTCTACTGTTTTTTTATTTTGGCTTTCCTTATTGACTTCTCTGTATTCTGGTATCCTGACTCCTGGCTTTCCTCATCATTGCATCCCTTTCTGTGTTCCCTGATCTCAGCTAGTATTTTGACTATTCTATGTACATTAAATCCGGCCATTCTAAGGACCGGTAATACGTTACTTATTTGTCATCTAGGCTATACAGTTCTACGTGCTGGATCATACAGTAATCCTGATAAACACTTACAGGAAACTGTGACCGCGCACACTTCACACATATCGGCTATGTACAGACACCTAGATGACTTCGACAACCAGGGACGCCAAAACAATCTGAGGATAAAAGGGCTACCTGAGCAGCATTAGGAAGACCTGACGTCTATACTTGTTTAATCGCATTCTGGGCAGACCAGCTGACACTCCACTAATGCTAGATATAGCACACAGAGCATTGAAACGAAAATATTCCCAGATTTATCCTGGCAAACCTTGCAGGCAAAGCGCACTCACAATGGCAGAACACACTCCCTAGCCTCGATCCAGGACATCCGTGCATTCACACAAGCCATTGAGTTGCCGGATGTTCAAGTCCCAGACTGGTACGGCACTAGCCAACCTGTACCTCCCTTGCCACTTCAACAACGGCATAGATGGCAGACCCCTGCCAAGAAGAGGAGGGCCCAAATCTGAATAATCTGAAACCTCACTGGGCCTGAATTCGCCTAAAAGCGCACCCAAACACCGATAAAGCCCTGAACCCTTGTTGAGTGCTAACCCATCTCCCTGCATGGTGGCTCTAACAACATACCTCTTCCCAAACAAAGTTTAATCTCCATTACTGGAGTCGATCAGGATTCTGGACTGATCTCCGGTGCTTGAACCATAAGGACAGAAGCACTCTTTGGTCACAGACTCAAGGCTTTCATTTCCCAAAACAGGACTACCCCTTCAAATCTGTGGCTTGGCCCACTTCAAACTGAGTTTAAAGGCCTCCTAATTGAGACCCAAGTGGGCCAGCTAGCCTGAACTGTTACCTTAACAGCCTCAATCACTGCACCTACTTCCTTAACTGGCTACTGATCTTGGGAGCACGTAAGATAATAGTGCTGTGAATGTTGCTGATGCATAGATTCAATATTGCCTGTTATGTGGGTTATGAGTAACTAGGTTACCCACTGATAGGGTACTTGATATAAAGATAGGGTACTTGATATAAAGCATTGGGTACGACCATACCCAGCAGTAGCCTATGCCCACCAAACATGCAAACATGAACAACCTCCAGGGGTTATGTTTATGCACAGGCTTTATACAAGCAATGTTTCTTACTACGTGCATCTCGTGCAGACAAATTCACAATGTTATGAAATGTCTCTATGCAGAAGGTAGATCTGAGGTCTTAAGTCCACAAGCCTAGACAGCACACTCCCCTCCCCCCCTCCTTCCTACCTCTAATCACCTATGGGTCAGTGAGATGGCCTCAACATTCAGGGCTCTGGCAATTTATACTCCTACCTCAGCTCACCTAAAAACAATGTATGATATTGGAGAGGATCCCCCCACCCCTCTCTCAAGACAGATATCGCTATTATCCACAACTTACATATTCAACTATTAATGGTATTCACCATACACCCCCCACCCCACCCACTTGTAACACGCCAAACCTAGTGTCAACTGTGTCGTCAGAGCTGGACATTGATTCCAGACTTGCAGCCACTATATAGCCCCCCCCCCAGCAACACTTCCCAAAGTTGCTAGGGAAAGTAGCTGTCACTGCCAGTTGACGCTTGCTATACTCTCATATCACGCTTCACATCTACCAAGTGTTATAATCACCCTTTACTAATTTGTACATAGTTAAGTTCTTGTTTCTTTTCTTATAATCAGATTATATTTGCAGCCAATTGGAACCAGTTTACACTAAAATCTACCTGGGGTAGACATGGCCACCCTTCATGTGGTTTCCCTGAATACAAGGGGACTGAACCTCCCAGAAAAATAATCACAGGTATTATCAGAACTCCACACTTTTTAAAGGCAGACATAGCATTCCTCCAAGAAACCCACTTTAGAGCAGATGCCCCTTCCACTCTGCAGGATAAACATTACCCAATAGGGTATTTCTGCAACCTTTCAAATTCAAAGGCCTGCGGAGTGGCCATATTATTAGCAGTTAGAGTCCCATTTGTCTAGAAGGCACATAAATCTACTGATGCGGGGAGAATACTAATGGTCAAAGGTCAAGTTGGACAACATATAGTAACCCTAGTCAATGTCTATCTATCCAATAGGAGACAAGGGAGAGCAATTAAAAAATATCTTTGTTTAATAGAGCAATTTACTGAAGACATTCTCCTTATGTGAGGCGACTTCAACATTTCTTTAGACGCAGGTATGGATACAACGTCCAATGCGCCCAGATACCAGGCCACCACCAGGAGGAGGTTAGTTTCACTCTTAGAAGACACATGATTGTTTGACATTTGGCGCACCACACAGCCCACTGGATTACATGGTCTGACCATGCACCCCTGTCTCTTGCCGTACAAATACCCCACCTTCCACCCCATTCTTTCCAATGGAAGTTAAATGATTTGCTATTAAATGATGCATGCGCGTCTGCATCCAAACGTTTAGCAGTTCAGCAATACTGCGACAAAAATACCACACACGCGACATCACATCTGTAGTGTGGGAGGCCCATAAATGTGTGATAAGGGGATGTCTCATAGCTATAGCTTCCAAACCCAAAAAGAAATGCTCAGAACAGGCTAACACCCTTTTAATTGACATAAGGTCTCTAGAAAACACACATAAACAGAACATTACCCTAGAAACATACAAACAACTGACTAAAAAGAGATCTAAACTGCAACAATTCATGAATGCCCAAATAAAATGCCAAATGTTATTCACTAAATATTCCTATTATTCCAGAGGGGGCAAGTGTGGACGTCTCCTGGCTTAAAGGTGCTAGACAGACTACATTTATCTCCAAGATAAAAACAGTGTCAGGGAACATATCTCATAAAATCACAGACATACTGCAGGAGTTACAGAAGTTTTACACCATGCTCTACAACATTCGCATGGCCTCGCCAACGATTCCAGAATTGGAACAAGACTAAGCCCCTTGCATCAAACAGACAATACCTAAAAGTCTATTACAACATCTAGATTCACCAATACAGCTGGAAGAATTCCTGCTAGCAGTCAAACACTCCCCGTTAGGTAAAAGCCCTGGCCCAGATGGCTTTACAGCCAAATATTACAAAACATTCTCCGAACTCCTGGCCACACCGTTTGTTACCGCATTCAATTCGCTCACTACCTCCCCAAACCTCCCAGACTCTGTACTAGAGGCACACGTTACCTTTATCCCCCAACAAGGAAAAGATGCCACTATGTGTGGGAGTTATCGCCCAATTTCACAAATTAATACGCATCTCAAACTCTTCACAAAAATCCTGGCCACCAGACTATGCCCTCTCCTGCAGGGACTAGTCCACCCTGACCAGACAGGCTTCGTGCCCGGATGCGAGGCCAAAAACAATACCACAAAATTATTGAATTTAATGCATATGGCATAACAATTCCAATCTCAGAGCCTGCTCTTATCAATAGATGCTGAAAAGGTGTTTGACAGGGTGGACTGGTACCTGATATTCACGACCCTCAAGGCCATGGGCTTTGGCCGAATTGGTCACAATGGCTGCATTCCATTTATTCTAGGCCACGAGCGCGCATTAGGATTAATGGCCAGTTGTCTGAAACCCTCCCTCACCATTACAGTTTGTCCTGATCCTTTCCTTCAAGGAATCAGAGACAACCCAGTTATCCATGGCATCAAAGTGCAAGGAATTGAATACAAAACAGCAGCTTTTGCCGATGACCTTCTATTCACCCTCACACAACCAACAAATCTCCATGCCACAGATTCTGGAAGAAATCTCCCTTTACAATAATTTCTCTAATTTTAAGGTCAATTTCACAAAAAGTGAAATTCTCTGGCTGGTAATTACAGCCTCCACGAAGGACACCCTCCAGAATTATTTTATATGGTCACACACAGCAGTCAAATACGTAGGGATTCACTTACCTACATGCCCCTCCCAACTCTATGACCTAAATTTCCAACCTCTTCGTCACACACTTTTTGCAGGACCTAACGCAGCACAAGCTCAAATTTGGCTGGTTATGTCGCATAAACATTTTAAAGATGAACGTACTGCCCAAAATCTTATACCTCCTACATACTATTCCTGTAACCTTACCAAACACTCTTTTCGCAGAAATCAAAAAAAATTCACCTGTTTTGTTTGGTCACACAACCATCCAATGCTACCATTCAAATTACTCACCATACATAAGCACCAAGGTGGCCTGAGCCTGCCAGATATAGAAATGTACTATAAAACGGTCATGCTCTCCAGAATATATGAATGGGCAAATTGCAAACAATGGGCAACACTGGAGAAAGCAGCTTTCATTCCCACCAACCCATAATTATACCACTATATAACACTTAAAATATGGACGAAGATTAGACACTCACAGAGTATAGCTCCACACCCGTCCCCTCTGTATCCAATCACGCACAACCCACACTTCCCACCAGGCACCCGCCGATCTTCATTCACATCTTACCAAGCCACACACTACCTAGCAGTATGCACAGTGCTTAAAAAAAAATCAAGGTATTAATCACGCAAACACTAAGGAAGCTGGAATGTCTCAGACGGCACTACAACGATACCAACATTCCCAGGTTGCACATTTTCTTTCCTCCACTCCCGATTTACTCGGAGGACGGAGACAACTAACCATGTTTTAAAAACATAAAAACATAAAAAACATAAAAACAAACGGTGACATAAAAACAAAACACTTCTCTACCATGTATAAACTAATGTTATATACGAAAACTCGCACTCCCTACCCAAATACACAAGTTCTTGGGAATATGAACTGAACCTTCAACTGACGCATATTGACTGTGATAATACACACACTCAAGAAGGTAATTTCAAACGTTTGTCCAGGTGGCACCTATCGCCATCTAAATTGCATAAGATTTTTCCTAACGCCCCAGAATCTTGTTGGAAATGCAAGCTCCCTAAGGGCACGCCGGGTCATATCTGGTGGAACTGTCTGATCATCACGGAATACTGGTCTAAAATACTCCGAATGATCCATTTGGTAACAAATATCAACCTGCCCACCAAGCCTAAAATGGTACTCTTCTTCCATTTCTCCAAACCAATCCCCAAACCTACAAAATAGTTGATCACACACTTGTTGACAGCGGCAAACTCGCTTATCCCAATGCTCTGGAAACAACCAAGAGCCCCTACAGTTAGGGAATGGATTCACAAAGTCGAGTCCATCCGCTTAATGGAAGACATCCATTATGCCTTGACACACAAATATGCACTACACGTCACCACATGGGGTCCTTGGATCCATTTTCTGAATGCAGATGGACAGGTGGCCACACGACTGACAGACCAGATAGAAAGATACAGGGACATTACTGTAGCGGTTACCCCGATGAGTAGAGGGGTTTCCACCGCTAGAGAGTGTACTTCTCCCGATGGTGAGCGGTATTCTCAGCATTCAGCAGTCATCCAAGTTGAGAAGCTCTTAGAAGAGCTAGTGTTATAGCTGTATAGCAGTTTCCTCCAATAAGAGACAAGACTCTAGATTAAGGGTAAAGTAAGAACTGAAGGTTTAATGGCAGATTGGTTTCTTTTATACAGTATTTATACAGTATTACACCAGACATGAAATTTACAATTCAAACAAAACAGAGGTTTTCATTTGAACACTCCCAGTTACTGTACCTAAGACCTCGCCTCTGCTTGAGAGATAATTGAGTTAATTACTGTATTAACTCAATTATCTCCAAACGAAAAATACAGTTTTTACCCAATTTCTCAAACACCCCGAAAACATATGGGAACCACATAAATTATACATGATACATCCCCTGATACATCCCCTGAAACACCTAAATTATACATCCCCTGATCTGGGGGAACAACATATTGAAAATTCACCCAAATCGGTTCAGGAGTTTGAAAGTTAGGTGGAAGTCTCAGAAGTGTTGTGTCCGATTTTAGTTCCAGACACTCAACGACACATTCCCGCTGACCGGATTCATATTCCAAGATGGCCGGCGTCACGTGTTCGTACAAACGAACACTCAGGCGAATGTCGACCACCCTGTTGATCAATTAGAACGTTGGGGTGTTCATGGTTTTGGAGGTGTCAATTAGGTTAATGGGTGCCACACTCCTGGTCTTGGTGGTCGTACGTTCGGTAGGAAATTCGTGAAACAAATGGCCATTAGCACATTAAAAGTACAGTTATTTCAGACGAACAATTTAAATGAACAAAGTTTAAAAATCAGGGACAGCGGGTCTGTCACAATTACCCCTACAGATGTATAGATACGAATACATATATATCACTGATTCCTTAGGCAGGATAAATGATCAGTTCGTCTCTTCTTTTGGTGTATGTTTTATTGTTCCAAAAGTGAAGTCATGTTACTTAGCCAGGGGTAGTTACCCCACACAAAAGATGCATGGCATCCTGAATATACTTTGTATACCGTGTAATCCGATAATCTCCACATAATATCAATCACTTTTTGATCATAACCCATGTTTTAGTTTAATAAAAGCGTTGTTTAAAAAAGTTCACTAGAACCAACAGAAAAACCTTAGAATCTTCAGTTTTCAGGAGTGCAGCGCTATATCTAGATATGAAAATGAGTGAATTCTTGTATAGAGTGCTTAAAGGCACTTACCCTCTATATCACACTTTGTATTTTCGTGTACATATAAAGAAAATAGAAAAGAAATGCAAATAATAGTGTAGTATATCGAAAAAATGTCCCAAGAATTATGTGAGTTATAAGTTTAAATAAACTCAAATTTTTTACAGCCTTTACAGTTGTAAGGCTCTAAACTTCCAGACATCTGTGTCTTTTTGGGTAGATCACACGACCCCTCTCTCAATGCAAAAGTGCGTATGTTCCTCTCCACATCATAGGAAAAAAAACAGATATTAAAATCTAAGTGTAGTATCTTAGATACTGATTTTATCGATATGAATAAAATACAAAGTGCTCACCTTATTTAGAGCCTTTTGATAACTGGCTCTAAGTGTATTTATGGGGTGTCAATTTATGGGGTGACACTGCCGCTCTCTGGAATCACTTGTGCAGGATACAGTTGGATTGATGAATATAAAAACTATATTTATTCTTTACAGAGAAAAGTAATATTTAAAAAGTATATATAAACTGTTTACTAGAAAATAAAAAACTGCAAAAACATATAAGAACAATACAATTGTATTAAGTGGTCTAAATATAGGTCCACTTTTAGCCAAAACGCGTTTCACCGATTAAAAACAGCCTCCTCAGTCAGCTTCAAAATATCTTCTGTATTCTCTCTTTTAAATCCTCGATTACCCGCTAATTTTTCGTTCTCCAAACTGGTATGCTTGGTGTGACTTAGCCAGATATCGTTGCTTAGTCAAATAGAAGCGTCCAAATAACTTTTGATGGACTGCCAGAGGGGAGATATTAGAAACCGAGGTTATGCATTAACCCTATATGTGTTCAGGAATTGTTTCCTTTGTCAGAAATCTATAATGCCATTTTAAGGCATATTATTATAACAAGTGTATTGTTAGTTCCTAAAACACAATAAAAATAACTCCACTTATGTTAATGTCAGTGAGACATCAAAAGACAAATACCTACAAAGTAATGTTTATTTTTCAATTCTAAAATGATTATAGAACACAATATTAATAGGTCAAGACTGTATACTAATTATGAGGAGATGTACCTATTATAAAATATTGTTTAAAGCAACATCTGTTTAGCATTAGAGTATTTGTAAAGCTATGTAACTTATTGTAAGCTTTCTTCTCAATCCCCAAATTATTATAGAGCACCAAATTAATAAGAAATAGCTGTATACTAATCATGGGTAGGTAAATCTATTATAAAATATTGTTGAAGCTAATAAAGATCTGGAAATAAATTCCAGGATGTTCTGATATGGTTCAACCATCTAGTGGGGAGGTTGGTAATCACAAAGTGGTTATAGTGTAAGAGCAACCCTAATGGAAACTAGACAAATAAGGAATCATGCTAAACTCAAGTGGGAAAGGACACAGATCTCCAGGAAATAAATGGAGAACTTTCCGTAGGGAATTGTATATAATCAAGAGTGGATGAACGGGGTGAAATTAAACTCCTCGTTCATTCCTTTTGGGAAAAAAAGTTTGGAACGAGTAGATCCAACGTGGTTCAGTCTTTAATAATAGGAGGTTTATATTGCCTTTCCAATGATTTTGTTGTAGCTTTTGTATAACTTGGAACTTCAAAACTCTAGGGTTATTATCATGGTTGAGCCTTACATGTCTGGCCACCAGAGTATCAGTGTTGGGATTTTTGGTTGAGTTACATATTGCAAAATCGTTTGTCGAAATTGCTGGTACGTTTTGCCTATGTATTGAAGGCCACTCCTATATGTGATTAAATAAACAACATCTGTAGAACTGCAATTTACAAATGTGTTGATGGTAACCTCCACATGAGTCTAGTTACTGCCTACCGTTTTAGTGGGGGTGATGAAGTCTCATGCTTTGCAATGCCCACATTTGTAAAGGCCCTTAGTTGGTTGGAGCCAAGTGTTCGGGTACTGGAATAGAAATCATTCTAAGGGAATAAATCCATCTAGGTAAAATATAGGCTTTAACCAGGTTAATTTTGCCCAAAAAAGACAACATTTGTGTTATTCCATTCACTAGACTGCTTTATAAGATCTTTAAACAGGGGAGTGTAATTTAACAAATAAATATTTGTTAGTTCGTGCATTGTTGCATAGTCCAATCCAATCGGCATTGCCTGGTTCTTATGTATATTAATTTTAGAATTCAACATCCACTTCCCTCAAAATTGCTTCCATAGATGCTACAGGATTTGTCAAAGTCAGTAACACGTCATCTGCAAACAGATTTAATTTGCATATACGTTCGCCTACTTTAATTCCCTCGATGTTTTGCAAAGCCCTGATTCTTGCTGCCATGGTTTCCAAAGATAAAATATAAAGCATTGGTACCAACGTGCACCCCGTCGTGTTCCATGACGAATCTGGAACCAATCAGAATTAAAACCCTGACCCACTATTTTAGCAGTTGGAATAGTATATAAAGCCATGACCGAGTCGACTAACCCACTCCCGAAGTTTCAAAGCTTTAAGAATCTCCTCAAGGAAGCGCCAGTCAACTCGGTCAAAGGCTTTTTCTGCATCCAGGGCCAGAATAATTGATGGAATTTTGTGTGTTGTTATATAACGAATGAGATCTAAAACTTTATGGGTATTCCCGCTCGCCTGTCTTCTTTAATAAACCCTGTCTGATTGCGATGAATAATAAAAGGAATAATGACTTTCATTCTTTCTGCCATTAGATACGATTTAATTTTGGTATTAATGTTTATTAGAGAAATTGGCCGGTAATTAGGGACCCTTGTTTTGTCCTTATCCTGTTTGGGAATAGGGACTATTGCGGCTTTCAACATTTCGGCTGGAAAATTCCTACTTTCCTTAATTATATTAAATGTATTTGTCAAGTGGGGAATTAACATGAACTTTTGTTTCTTATAAAACAAGTTTGAGTATACATCCGGTCCAGGGGCCTTCTTGGTCCGGACCCTATCTTTTTTTCATCTGGGAATCTAGCATCTCTTTTTGGTCTTGTGAGATCCGGGTTAGATTTACTTTTCTTAAATATTTCACTATATCTGGAGTTTCTGCTCTTTTAGTGTTGTATAAAACCTCTTAAATGCATTTCCAATAGCCGCTGGACTTATGCAGATTTCCAACCAGTTTATAATCTTAAAAATTCTGTTTCTCTGATTTTCCCTTTTAATCTGGTTTGACATAGGTTGCATAAGTAATACCTCTTTTGTTTCATCTTAACCATTATCCTATCTGATTTCATATTTAGTTGTTCTCTTATGGTCTTCATTATTAAAGAGATTTCCTTAGATTTAGTTTCATCTAAGGCTATTTTATTTAGACTTGTCAAATCAGCCAGCTTTGCATAAAGGCTTGCTATGTTTTCCCTCCCCCCCTTTTTTTTTTTCCAACTGAGAATCCATCTTAACCCCTTAAGTACCAAACTTTTGGAATAAAAGGGAATCATGTCATGTGTCCTTAAGTGGTTAATTAGGTAACCCCGCATCACGCTTTTAAAACCACACACCAAGCAGTTGGTAAGCTTACATCCCCTGTTAGATTGTCTTTAAAAAAAAACATCACCTAATTTTGACAAACTATCTACATTTTTGTTTTTAATAAAAGGGTATCATTAATTTTAAAAATGCTAATATTTCTGTTATAATTATCTTGCATAACTAAAATAACTGCATGATGATCAAACCATGCAATTGGAATTATTTGAATGTCTTTACACTGTGTAATAGAGTATGGATCTGTCAATACCTAATCAAATCTTGAATATGAAGAATGATGATTTAAAAAAAAGTGTAGTCTATCTTCTGGCCTAAGAGTACGCCAAGTATCGTAGAGTTTTAATTTTCCCTAACATAGATTGAAAAATCTCAAGCCAGAACTTTAACTACATGGTTTAGATATAGGTCCACACCTATCAAAATCCAGATCCACAACATAGTTAAAGTCTCCCAAAGCTATAAATGTACCCCAAATCAAATTCTGGATTTTATCCAGCACCTGGTTTACAAAATGCACTTGTTTCCTATTAGGGTCATAAAGATTCAAGATTGAAAACATGTTGTCAATAAGTCTACAAACCACAAAAACACATCTCCCCACTTTGTCACATGACTTGGATATAAACTCATATTTAATCTCTTTTGAAAAAAAGATCACTACCCCTCTCTACTTATGTTCCATTGATGAAAGTATCCTCTCTGGATAATAACCAGAGTTAAAGTGAGCGTCATCTGCCGATTTCCAATGTGTCTCTTGAACTGCTGCTATGTAAATACTTTCTTTACACAACATGGAAAAGGAAGGAGAAACCATGCCCAAAAATATATGTACAGAAATTTACACACATTTGGCCTCAAAGATAAAAAAAAAGTAATAATAATGCAGTACATGTGTATGCATGTATGTATGTGTGTATGTATATATATATATATATATATATATATATATATACACACATATATATACTATATATATACTATTTATTAACCATACAAAAACAATAATAGCAATATAAAATAGCTTTAAGGAGTCCCACTTTACGCGTTTCGCCTCTCAAAGGCTTCTTCAGAACTGTGGTTAAGTTCTCATAAAATTCTGTTTAAAGAGGCAGTCTATAAAGGGAGATTGCTTTCTGGTTTGTTGATGTCAGGATTACAGAATGATCCAGCATGTAGAATTGTGTAACACAGAGGACTGAGAGGTAACGTATACCGGACTTTAGAATGGCCGGTCTAACGTACCAAAGAATAGTCAGGAATAGCCGAGGTCAAGGGATACAGAAAGAGACACAACAATAAGGAAAAGCCAGAAGTCAGGGATGCCAGAAAACAGGGAAGTCAAAAACAATGCCAAAGTCAAATAACCAGAATATCCAGAATCAATAACGTGCTCTCGGACAACCATAAGGGAAACCATGACAGGGCACTGAGCAGGATGAGAACTGGGCCTAAATACCCCTCCTCTAGATCTGATAGGCTGTAACCAGCCTTTGACCCCAAAGACAGTTACCAGGTTCCCATTTGCATAATTGCTGCTCAGCATTAACCCTTTTGTGGATTCGGTTGCTGCTCGGCACAACTTTTCTTGTGTGGACAGTAAATGCCATTAACCACTTTTTTATAAGCAGATGAATACGTGACAGTTGATTGTTGATTTCCTGTAACCATTCTGGAACACATGTATCATACCAGAAGTGATGCGGTGTTCTACCAGTATGGTGTTTCCAGCTTGGAACGCATATGGAACCAAAATGGCACCATTGCATTCCAATTAATGTAATAAGTATCCCTTCTTGCAAGGGGAATAAAGGTAAGTTGAATTAGGCAGTTTTGTGTCTATTTTGACACTTAGTATAATTTTATCATCTGAATAGACTAGTGTTGTTCCGGGATGGGCGTCTCTTGTGTGTTTTGAATCCCGGAAGTGTCTTTTTGGCCATGTTTGAGAAGGGCAATATATGGGGGAAAAGGAGGAGTTTAGCAGAAAAAATGCATCTATTTGTATTGTTTTGCTCTAGGTTGCAGCAAATAACAGGATATGTGTTCTATAACTATATTATTAATAAGAGTATTTACATTGACATTGGGTAAAAAAATAAAATCGATTTAAAAACACATTAAGATAAAATATTTAAAAATAATTTGATACAAATAATGGTTTAACACTAAAAATAACCCTAAAGATTGTGTAGAAAAAAACAAACAAATACATAAGTATAGTGATGTTAACATATAGAAACATAGAAACATAGAATGTGACGGCAGATAAGAACCATTCGGCCCATTTAGTCTGCCCAATTTTCTAAATACTTTCATTAGTCCCTGGCCTTATCTTATAGTTAGGATAGCCTTATGCCTATCCCACGAATGCTTAAACTCCTTTACTGTGTTAACCTCTACCACTTCAGCTGGAAGGCTATTCAATGCATCCACTACCCTCTCAGTAAAGTAATACTTCCTGATATTATTTTTAAACCTTTGTCCCTCTAATTTAAGACTATGTCCTCTTGTTGTGGTAGTTTTTCTTCTTTTAAATATAGTCTCCTCCTTTACTGTGTTGATTCCCTTTATATATTTAAATGTTTCTATCATATCCCCCCTGTCTCGTCTTTCCTCCAAGCTATACATGTTAAGATCCTTTAACCTTTCCTGGTAAGTTTTATCCCGCAATCCATGAACCAGTTTAGTAGCCCTTCTCTGAACCCTCTCTAAGGTATCAATATCCTTCTGAAGATACGGTCTCCAGTACTGTGTACAATACTCCAAGTGAGGTCTCACCAGTGTTCTGTACAATGGCATGATCACTTCCCTCTTTCTACTGCTAATACCTCTCCTATACAACCAAGCATTCTGCTAGCATTTCCTGCTGCTCTATTACATTGTCTGCCTACCTTTAAGTCATCAGAAATAATCACCCCTAAATCCCTTTCCTCAGATGTTGAGGTTAGGACTCTATCAAATATTCTGTACTCTGCCCTTGGGTTTTTACGTCCAAGATGCATTATCTTGCACTTATCCACATTAAATGTCAGTTTCCACAATTCTGACCATTTTTCTAGTTTACCTAAATCATTTGCCATTTGGCTTTTCCCTCCTGGAACATCAACCCTGTTACATATCTTAGAATCATCAGCAAAAAGACATACCTTACCATCAAGACCTTCTGCAATACCACTAATAAAAATATTAAAAAGAATGGGTCCAAGTACAGATCCCTGAAGTACCCTATTGGTGACAAGTCCAAGCTTCGAATATATTCCATTGACTACAGCCCTCTGTTGCCTGTCACTCAGCCACTGCCTTACCCATTCAACAATATTGGAATCCAAACTTAAAGATTGCAGTTTATTGATAAGCCTTCTATGTGCAACAGTGTCAAAAGCCTTACTGAAATCTAGGTAAGCAATGTCTACTGCACCACCCTGATCTATAATTTTAGTTACCCAATCAAAAAAATCAATAAGATTAGTTTGGCATGATCTCCCTGAAGTAAACCCATGTTGTCTCTGATCTTGAAATCCATGTGTTTTTAGATGTTCAACAATCCTATCCTTTAACATGGTTTCCATCACTTTCCCCACTACTGAAGTAAGGCTTACTGGCCTATAGTTGCCCGACTCCTCCCTATTACCTTTCTTGTGAATGGGCACAACATTCGCTAACTTCCAATCTTCTGGGACTACTCCTGTTAACAATGATTGGTTAAATAAATCTGATATGGCATGTCATCTTGCACAAAGTTAAAGGCGGGGTGGAAAAACTGGTAACCAGAAATAAGAATGGGTGTTATGGCAGTGACGGTTTCTAATCATAAAGGAAAAAATAATAATCTTGGTTTCTGTGCCTGTGTAATTGCATGTGTATCTGTGCATCTGTATGTGTCAGTGTGTGTCTGTGTATCAGTATGTGTGTCAGTGTGTATCTGTGCATCTGTATGTGTTAGTATGTGTCTGCGTATCAGTATGTGTGTCCATGTATGTGTAATATTGTGTTAACCTGCATGTATGGCAGTGTGTTTGAATGTTTATCTGTATGTTTGTCAGTGACTGTGTTTTTGAGTCTGTGTGTCAGTGTGTATCTGCATGTGTGTTGTCAGTGTATGCACATGTGTGTCTGTGTATCTGCCACCCCCACACACATACTGTAACCCCCTACAATATCAACCTTCCTCACATACAGTCCCTCCTCTTCACAATGCCACAATCACATTAACAGTCCCAAACCTGTCACACTCACAATGCCATACGCGCCCAACTTCACTCTGCCTCACTCACCCACAATCCTGTCACACTCACCTTTCTCACACTGTTACACTCATCCTCCATCACTCTGTCACACTCACCCCTTTCACCCTGCCACACTCACTCTCTTGCATTGACTCCTCCAATTCTGTCATATTCATCCCCTCAACCATGCCACACTCACCCTGTCACATAAACCTCCGCTAATCTTGTCATGCTCACCTCCCCATGCCCTGTCACACTCCCCCCTCCAACCATGATGCATTCACCCCCAACCATGCAACACCACCCTGTAACATGAACCCCCTAATCCTGTCACACTTACCTCCTCTCGACACTCTGACACTCCATCCATGTCACATTCATCCCCAAACCCGGTCACACTCACTTTCACACTCATAGCCCAACCCTGTTTCTTTCACCCCTCTGGCCCTGTAGCACTAGCTTACCATGGTTATGTTGCAGTCACCCTCTGAAGAGCATCATCATACACACACAGTCATGAAACATAGCTTCACCATAAACACAATGCACAAAGGCCACAGGCAGCTCCCCATACACACAACACACTGCTAGCAGTTAGCCCAGACACATACGGTCCCAGACTCAAACATACACATGGTCACAGAGATGTACATTCAAACACAAGGATATTCACAGTCAGGCACATACACAGAATTCTAAACAGCCCAAAACACATTGTGACTGCATGTCTGTATTTGTCAATGTGTGTGTCTCTGTGTGTCAACGTGATATTTATTAATGGGCAGACTAACTGATGTATTTATTATTGGGCAAAATTACTGTGGTATATATTATTTGGGAACAATTGCTGGGATATTTTTAAGTAGGCACACTGACCATGATATTTTTTCATGGGCACCTGGCTTGGCATATGTTTAATGTGCAAATTGACTGTGGTATATTTTTAATCAGAAAACTGACTGTGGCATGTTTTGCAGGGCAAAGTGACACTATCAACAGGCAAGTTTTGTGTGTTATTAAATTGACATTGTGCCAAGTGCTGTGGAGCAATGTGGAAATTGACATGAGTTAATTTGACACATATAACTGCTGTGTGGGCAGTGTGACACTGTGGCAAGTGATTTGGGGGCAGTGTGGCCTTTTTGGAAAGTGTGCTGGTGCATGGTGACTATGTGGTCATATATCTTTGCTTGTGGTGTGCCACAGAATTCTGGGAACATCCTTTTGTGTGCCTTGGGTGGGAAAGGTTGAGGAGCACTAATATAAGTCTACAATCTATGTGTGTGAGTTTGTTTTTTGTGTGTTTTGGTGGAGGGCACGAATGCATGCTAGTCATTGTTGGGTGAAGTAGCCTTAATTTAGTAAGTCCTGGGAGGCCCAGCAAATGCTTGCCTAGGGTCCAATCTATAATAAAAATAACCCTGCTGAGATTGTGTCACCCAGGCATGTAAAATAAAGCTACTCCTAGTTCGTATAGACTCTTAGTGCATTTCTTTTTTATTGCTGACCCATTTATGTTAAATTCTTTATTTTTATTGTGATTTGACATACAGGCTTGAGATGTCATGACGGCAGCGATAAGCATAATAGGAACATACGTCAAGATATTGTGTCATGGCAAATGAGTAAAATGCACTTTTTAATAGGCATAATAAAACAAGCTTAACTTTGGATCTGAGTGGGTACAAGTTTAAAGAAAAATAAGGTATTGCTTGGAGCATGGTATATGTTAGGTAGGTGCTAAGTAAAATTAAGACAAACATAGTATAACATGCTAGGATTAACATTGGAGGTTTAATGCCACTGGTCCTCGTCATCAATTATATGCGTATGAGAGTGAGAATATGGGACTCCCAACATTACTAACTGTAGCTCTATGCCATGTGGGTTTCAAAATAAGACAAAATAAAGCAAGATAAAGCAATGGAGCATGATAATTGCCCTGGGTGCCTGCTCAGCCAGGTGTTGTAAATATCAAATTAGACTAGCTAATCTTAGTGCTGCTGTGTATGGCCTAGCGTGTAGGGAGGCCTATGGCCGAGTCAGATTCTGCATTTGTAGCTAACCAATGCCCATCTGTGGCTGTACATAGTCTGGATCTGTGACGTGCCCACTGGGCTGCGGTGGGGTACAGCAGCTGCATTCCCTGCCTCTGCTCTGTAGCGCAGGAGAGTCTCTGTGTCTTGTGGCACATGGTAGGTGTATCAGGGCACCTTCTGTGCTCTTTGCGGCCTGCTTGGGGGTCTGTCGCTGGGTTCTGTGGGTTTGAGCCGCAGGTGAGGTCGGTGCCATCTTCGTCCAAGTGCTGCGAGGGGCTCGGGTTGCCTTGCGCTTGATGCAGGTTCCTAGTTGCAGTCACCGTAGCCTGGGCTGCGCGGCAGCAGCCGTCGTGGCCCTTCGCTCCTGCGGGTTAGTGTCAGGCTTGTTCTGGTATAATTTCCCCACAAGGAGGTCGGGGTTTCCGAGGTCTCCGCCATTGCGTAGTCTTCGATGCGGCTTGGGCTGTGAAGGCAGCGTTTTAGCTTCCAGAATCTCTCAAATGTCCTGTCTATGTATTGCAGCATGTCGTCAGTGGAGTTTGGCTGTATCAGCTTCTGCCCATGCAGCACTTGCCCCGGCTCAGGGAACTTGTCCACCATCTTGGGTGCCTTAGCCGGAGTCTCCACATGGCAGGAGTCAGTCTTTCGGGTCAGCGTGAGTTCACTTTGCTAGCCAGTGGGGACCGGGATGATCCCCGCTGGTCCATAGTGGGGGGATACCTTGTTTGAGTGTCTTACTGCCAGGCAAAGCAGTAGGAGAGCAGCCGCCTTTCCCCTGCCCGATAGCTGGTAGGCCGCAGAGCCACGAGGTAGAGTTTTCAGTGGCGGAAAAGCCCCTGTGAGGTATCTCCAGCATCACCGGTGTGCCAGGAATAGGCTTGGTTGTGCTCTGCGGTCAGGCAAGGTATTGGCTTGGGTGTTCTGTCTTTTGTAGGGTGTCGCTCGCGGGAGCCCATGTAGCACACGTCTTGCTTGTTCAGTGGCCAGGCTCCGCCATTTCTGACCCATTTATACCAAAAACACTACACTATTTTTGGCACTCCATCTCTTTTACATATTTATTATCATTTGAGAATCTCCTAAGTTGCTGCTCCCTTCTTTGATTGAGCACACCTTTTCTGGACCTGGATAGAGAGACTCCCGATTGGGTTGTTTAGATGCTTCCATCACCCAAGTGTATGCACTAAAAAACTTACCTTTTACTCTTTTATATTATTCATATGTGTCCTTTTTGTGAATTTATTTGGCCCTCCTCACTGTTATCATAGTGACGGGGTGGGTATGATTTGTTTTCATTGTGTGGGTTGGCTAAGGGTTTGGGGACCCCTAGTCATTGTTGGGGGAATTAGCCTTAATTTTTGAGGGGTGGACAATACAATGTGTACTAAAATGAGTTTTTATTATTACAATTCATAAGATGCCAAATTCAGTACCAACTGAAATGCATACATTGTACTGGACAGATTGTAACCTTGTGCAGGAGTGACACTATGTGGTCAATTTATGTTAGGTACTTACCTTTTTATTGTCCTGTCGGGGATTTAGCGGCATCAAACATCTTCTTCCTGCCCTCCATGCCAGACATTGCTTCCACATTCTTCCTCCAATCACTGACTTCGACTGGACGTTCCTTTGTGATAAAAAAAAATAGCACTTTGTTATTGATACTCAACTCATATGCAGAACCTTTAAAACATACTTAAACAATTTTACACACTTCTAATTGTAAAAAAAAAATGTTAATAAACTCACGCACATAACGATCATTAGACACATAAGTAAAAAGCATACCCTTCATATGTAAAATATATTAATATTTTAAAGTTGTACTTTATTGATTTTCACAAATGTCATACAGGGTCAGGGCTGTCACAAAAACATGAAAAGTTAAGTATTTAATATATTTTGATAAATTGGGGGGGAACATAAGTAAAATATAACATTATTTTGTCTCTGCTCATATACATGATTCTACCATTGCAGTTACGGTCGCTTGCCAGAAGCCAAATGTGGGACATAAGTCATTAAAGCACCTCCAAAATATTTCAGTTGTGTTATTAGAAAAAAGTTATGAAGACCCAAAGTATTATATTATTATAAAAAAGATCTCTTATTATTGGATTTGATATAATATTATTACTCTTTAATTTTTTATGTTTACTTGACCAGAATAAAAAAATCTTTGCTAAGTGATTTTTTTCAATTTCCAACCAAATTTGTCTGGAATTGAAAGATTTTCTCAATTAAGCATGTGGGCGATCATATTATTATTGCATAATTCAAATCTGTTGGGGAAGGAGAGTCCTCCGGATTTTGAATCTTTTTGCAAGATGTTTGAGTCTAATCTCATTTTTTTCACCTTGCCATATGAAATTATTTATTTTTTGACTAACTCTTTTAATATAGAAGAATTGAATCTGAGGGGATATTTCTAAATAAGTGAGATAATTTAGGAATTAAATATGATTTTATTGCTTCTACCTACCTTTCCATTTAGATAATATATTTTTGAATTCTAACAATTTCAAACAATAGTTTTCTTTTAAAATGTCCCCCAAATCCATTTTCAATTTAATACCCAGATAGTCTATAAATCTGGAATTACAATCAAAAATAAACTTTGACTTTTTTTAATATTGTGTCTTTGAAAGACACTCTATTTAATAATATTTGGGTTTTATCGAAATTTAGCTTATAATTGAAATATTTACCAAATTCCTTTATCATCTGGACTATATTAGGTATTGACTTCATTGGATCCACTAACATTAAAAGAACATCATCAGCGTACAATGTTAATCATTATACCTTGTGGAATATTATGACTACTTAAGATCTCTCACTCTCTCTAATGTCGTTAAGAAATACCATATGTTAAGTATATTATTGTTTGCTTTTGAAGTAGAATAAATGCATATTTTTTTATAAAGAACGTCAGATTGCGTATTAGTACTTTTTGTATATTAACCTGGCGGGCCTTTAACCAAAGAAGATATAAATAAATGACTTATTCAACGGAGAAAACACAACCCAGATATTACATTGGCGAGCTGAGCAAGACTTTTTTATGGTCTTTCACACTTCAATTAGGGGGGAGTAGTACAGAGGAAGGAGAGGACAGATCGAATTACTTTTTGTGAAAGCAGATTGAATTTAAGTGCAACCAGAAAAAGAAAAGAACTGTGTGTGTGTGAGAAGAAAAAGATTATTCAAATCACAAAGACTGTTCCAAGATTATTTTCTACAACAGAGAAAAGCACGTTATAAAGAAAGCAGCACAAGATACCATGTGTATTCTGCATGCAAGCACAAGCAAGCACGTGGCAGAGATTGGCAAGCGTTCAGAAGAAAATTGCACAGCTGTACGAGTGAAGGCAGACGGTGTTGTGCATTAAAGGTTATCTTGCCTGGTGAGTAATAATGGATTTTGTTACTGAACTTGATTTTGTTTATAATAGCAGCTATACAGATAGTCAATTGTGGGCAAGTTTGTACGAGCAGTGTAAACAAGCACAATGCAGCAATTTATAATACATTGTTATGTTTAAAAAGAACAAAAAAGATTAGAAATGTTTTAAAATTGGTAGAAATATTTGACACAATGATTCTTAGAACATGAATGTCTATGACAAAATTGCAAGTACCAAAACAAATAGAGGTGAAAGAATTAAAAAGTGCACAGACAGACATTGAAGATGAATTTGTATGTGTGTGTAACAGAAATTAAATGTACTAACTGCGATAGACGTCAGGCAAAAGTTTGTGACTTGGAAGAACAGTTGAATCTTAAATCTGAACTGATTTGTAAACTTAGAATTAAAGCCAAACAGTTGTGTGTGATTACAAGGAGTGATCATAATGTAATACCAGAGCCAATTGATGTCACAGAAATATTATCACAGCCTGATTTGCAACATAGACAATTGTTAGATAAGGCTGCAAAACTTAAATAAAAAATTTAAGAGCAGCTGATGAAAGTTACCAAAGATATTCCTCCATATAATCCATCAATGGATGCTTTTGGTAATACAGACGTATTGAGACTAATTTATCAAAACATAATTTGAATGACGAACAAAGGAACAGATTGTTTAAAATATGGGTGCCAACGTACATTGCACATCAGTTGATCCCACCTAACAGTTCCCCCTCGGATGAAGATGGTGAACTTGTACATGGGAATGAGCGAGATAGATTGACACAATTAATAAGATTAACAACAGGAAATGAGCATGTGGATATTTTTGGTTTTAGAAAAATTAAAACAAATATTAATGAAGATGTCTTCAGTTTCCTTTTGAAATTTGAACGTGCATACAGGTTGGTAATGAGTATTCCTCATGATTAGGCACCAAAATCTATGATAAATGCATTCATAAAAAAATTTGAATATCTTGATCCTGTATCAATTGCATGTGCACTGCAGTGTCCTACTATTGAGGATGCAGCATAATTTCTAGATAGAGTTAGGAGAGAATCAATGCATTAGACCATTTAAAAAAAAAAAAAATCTGTCTGTGAAATAAGGAGACAGGAGATACGAACAGCCCAGGCACAGGAAAAGCCCCCCTTCCTCACCTCCTGCAGCTGTTAGATCACAGCCAACGAGAAGAGAAGCCCAAACTTTTAACAACCCCCATTCACACTATGAAAGAAACTTGACACACATGGTCTGGTGTGTTTCTATTGCAATAAGCAAGGTCATATAAAAAGATACTGCAGGAAATATTTTTATGATTTACCATCAAGGGATCATTGCAAATCAAATGGATTTATTCAAAATATTCCTAATATAGAAAACAACAGAGATTCGCCATATACTCCTCTGATAAGGCAAGTGAGAAAAATTGTAGCTTCTTCAAATAGGAGACAGACAGAGTGTGATTTCTAACATTTCTAATGAGGCAAACCACATTTTAAATTCACAATGACAATCTGAAGGTATCAGGCCACGTCCACTTGAATTTTTGGCTCCATTAACTTTAGATGGATGTGGTAGATCATACATTAAATGTTCTTTAAAAGGTTATGACACAGAATTTCTAATTGACACTGGAGCTCAACTAAGTATAACAAGTTTATAACTACCTTTATCCCCAAGTGCACCTATATGTACAATTGTAAGATTTGACAGAGATGAAGGATCTATAGAAACATTATTAAATACCTCAGTGTTTAAAAACAGAAATTGATATCTGGTACTGCAAAATTTTTGACAATATCATAGGCACAGATGTTATGCAAAGAAGAGGTTGGATTGTTGAGTTGGTAAACAGATCTATACGGAAAGATGCTAAGGGTAGGAAACCAGTGCTATTGGATCCTTCTGAATATGGGGAGTTAGGAATTGTTTGTCCAGTAGAATTATTATCTACAGAAATGCAATGGCCTAATACTAGGGATAACCTGAACTGAAAGAGATTGTACAGATTTATCCAGATTTATGGGCACAAAGTAAAAATGAATGTGGAAGATTTAAAAATGTGTTGATCGACATTCAAGGTCTTGATCCACTCCCACAGAGGCAGTATCGATTACCCCCAGATTCAACTGATTCTATTGCAAGTGTCATTAATGATTTGGAACAGAGAGGGATGATTAGGGAAGCAAATAGTCCATGTAACAGCAACAGTTGACCAGTATTAAAAAAAGAAAAGAATTTCTGGAGATTAACAAGTTTGCATTTATGTTTCAAAATCAGCAATATGTATTTACTGTGTACCTTTAGGGATTTCACAGTTCTCCAACATATTTTCATCAGGTATTGGCCAAAGGTTTGTCCAAGTTTTATAGGCTAGAATGCTTGTTACAATATTTGATGATATGCTTTTGCAGACTGAAACTGAGGAAGAACACCTGATTCTGTTAAATGAACTATTTTTCCTTTTGCTGGACTCAGTGTTAAAACTGAACCACGTAAAGGAACACTGATGCAACCAGAGGTACAATACTTAGGTGTAATGAAGACCAGGAAAAGGCAGGAATTTTAAATAACTATTTCTCCTCCATATATATTAAGGAAGAACCCATGACAATAGATGTGCAAATGATTGCTACTAAAAACTTGCAGAATAATTGTAATTGGTTAACTCAAGACAAGGTGCTGCAGCAACTAAAGAAAGTTAATATAAACAAAGCTCCAGGGCCTGACGGTATCCATCCACGTGTACTTAAGGAACTAAGTGTAGAAATAAGTGAACCTCTGTTTTTAATCTTTCAAGATTCTTTTCTTTCAGGAAGTGTTCTGGAGGATTGGAGGAAGGCAGATGTGGTTCCTATATTCAAAAAGGGTTCAAAATCCTTGCCTGGAAATTATAGACCTGTGAGCTTAACTTCTGTGGCTGGGAAAATATTTGAAAGGTTATTAAGGGATAATATTCAAGAATTTCTTGAGAAGAACATGGTTATCAGCAAAAATCAGCATGGTTTTATGAAGCACAGGTCATGTCAAACTAACTTGATTGCGTTCTATGAAGAAGTAAGTAGATAGAGATCAGGGTGTTGACGTGGATGTAATATATTTGGATTTTGCAAAGGCATTTGATACAGTTCCACACAATAGATTAGTGTTCAAACTCAAGGAAATCGGTCTAGATGAAAATGCTTGTTCTTGGGTAGAACATTGGCTTAAAAACAGAGTACAAAGAGTTGTCATTAATGGTAAATTTTCAAGCTGGACAGAGGTGGCAAGTGGTGTCCCTCAGGGGTCTGTTCTGGGACCCCTTCTATTTAACATGTTTATAAATGATCTTGAAGACCGCATTGAAAGTCATGTTTCAGTGTTTGCAGATGACACCAAACTTTGTAAAACAATACAATGTGAGCAAGATATTACTTTGCTGCAGAGGGATTTAGATAGACTGGGGGACTGGGCACTCAAATGGCAGATGAAATTTAATGTTGAAAAATGCAAAGTTATGCACTTCGGCGTAAAGAATACACAAGCAACGTATACCCTTAATGGAAGCGAATTAGGGATAACAACACATGAAAAGGACTTGGGAATTGTTATAGACAACAAACTATGCAACAATGTGCAATGTCAATCAGCAGTGGCCAAGGCCAGTAAGGTATTGTCATGCATGAAAAAGGGCATTCATTCTCGGGACGAGAATATCATTTTGCCTCTTTATAAATCACTGGTAAGACCACATATTGAATATGCTGTGCAATTTTGGGCACCTGTTCTAAAGAAGGATATTATGGCACTAGAAAAAGTGCAGAGGCGGGCTACAAAATTAATAAAAGGAATGGAACATATCAGCTATGAAGAAAGGTTAACAAATTTAAACCTATTTAGTTTAGAAAAACGTCGCCTGAGAGGGGATATGATAACATTATACAAATATATTCGGGGCCAATACAAACCATTGTGTGGAAATCTATTCACAAACCGGACTTTACATAGGACACGAGGCCATGCGTTTAGACTGGAAGAAAGAAGATTTCGTCTAAGGCAAAGGAAAGGTTTTTTTACTGTAAGAACAATCAGGATGTGGAATTCTCTGCCTGAAGAAGTGGTTTTATCAGAGTCCATACAGATGTTCAAACGCTACTAGATGCATACTTGCAAGAACAGAATATTCAAGGATATAATCTTTCAATGTAGGGTAATAACTGCTTGATCCAAGGATAAATCTGACTGCCATTCTGGGGTCAAGAAGGAATTTTTTTCCTAGCTTGTTGCAAAATTGTGCTTCAAACTGGTCTTTTTTGCCTTCTTTTGGATCAACAGCAAAAAACAAATGCGAGGTAGGCTGAACTTGATGGGCGCAAGTGTCTTTTCAGCTATGTAACTATGTAACTATGTAACTATGTAACATTGGTCCAGGATGTAAGAAGCCACTGTAGGAAAGAATCAAAACTATTTCTTCTCTTCCTGTACCGACCTCACACAAATTCCTAGGATTAAGAATTCATAGAAGGTTTGCTGAAAAAGCCAAACCTTTATATGATCATAAAAATTAATTTTCTTTTTTATACTTATAACACTCCAAAATCCCAGTCATTTATGTCCTGCCTAAAGTACATAAGTATCTGGAATTGAGTCAGTCCTTTCCCCTCTGTCTCAATATATCGATTTCCACCTGCAACCCTTAGTTAAAGCCACTCCTCCTTTCCTTTTTAACTAGTTGGTCTCAAGAACAGAAAGGTTACTTTCACTGCGGGGTGTGCAATGCATGTCGGAAAACTAAAATATCTAATAAAAGTATTTTTTCTTTTCACTCTGCCACTAAAAAAAAAAAAAAAAGAGTATAATATAAAAACATTTACAACATGCCACTCAAATAATGTTATACATTTATTGTGGTGTAATTGTGGACTTCAGTATATAGGTAAAACTTCTAGACCTGTAAAGGTAAGAATAGGTGAACACATAAGGAACATTAGAAATGGGTTCCCAAACCATAGTGTTTTCAGACACTTCCTTGAAAAACATTGATCTAACCCAGGACAATTAGAGTTCTGTGTAATTGATAAAGTCAAAAAGTACTGTAGAGGGGGGGATGTTTCTAAACAATTAAGTATCCAAGAATCCAAATGGATATTCGTTCAAATTACACACCTTGACTCCAAAGGGATATAGAATATAGATTTTGAAATTAATGGGATCTTATAGACATCTATCATCACAGTTTATTCCTTTTGCAATTATCTGTATATTTAAAAAAATGTAAGATGTCTGTTTTACTATATTATATATTTTCCATTTTTCATTTTAACAATTTTTTATTCCTTGCCTTTATGGGCTATTATCAAAGTAGTCATCATGATGATTTTTATCACTAATATATATTTTTTGTATTAATATAATATATAACATTTCTTTCCTTTGCCCTTCCTCTCTTCAATTATACTGAGGATAAACTCCCCTTTTTGATATATGGCGCTGATAATGTTGGACTTACCAATACGTCATAATACTGTTCTATACGGACGCTGAATCTGAAAAAGGCGGACTCTCTGAGAAAAAAAATGTCACGGGAAGTGACGTATCTGATCAAAGGGTGTATGGCCCTTTAAAAACAGTATATGGGCATATGAAGACTTTTTGTCCCCAGTGTCCCCAGACTGTTAAACTACTTTGTGCGTGTCATTTTCCTATTTGGTTTGGTAAATGGGGCTTACTGAACCAATTAACAACCAGGCAGACCACACAGAGGTGGAAGTGTGCGGCTAATTTACCTCCCAGGCTGGCAGTTAACCGCAGGTTAATTGCTGACCGATGGGTGGCCTCCGTTCGTGCAGTCGAACACGTGGTGGCAGCCATCTTTATTTAGTCGAATGCGGTCAGCGGTGTGTGCTGTCAAATTCATGGAACTAAAATCGGTTACAAAACAGCACGAACACCGCTCAAGTTTTACCTTCCCTGGAACATTCGTCAATTCGAACGCAGTGCAACAGTTCATTCGACAATTCAAATGGTTGTCGTTCGTCTGTTTGAACTGACTTTAACATGGATAATAGACCGGCTGCACAGCCTGATTCTCTGGAACTGTTTTGGGCAGGAAAACGTGTATTTTCCTGCCTGTGATAATTACGTTAACCCATTGTGTACAGTAATTATATCACAGGCAGAGGGGAGGATTTTGCTGGAATGAATGTGTTTAACTGTATTGTATGTGTTTGATTGGCTGTGCCACAAAACCATGTGGGTGGTAACATTGTGTAAAAAGTTGCATTTAAGTGCCAATAAACCCTCAGACTGCTGAGTTCCTGTTTTGACCCTCAACACAGAGCCTCGTCTCATTATTGGGGAAACGGCTGCATTTACACTACGGAATTGCTATACTCTACATACTCCCCTAGCTATAATCACTAAGCTCTTTTAAGAGCTTGTTCCAGATTCGCTCTCTGTAGGAATCTGGAACAAGCAAAATCCTCCCCTCTGCCTGTGATATAATTACTGAACACAATGGGCTAACGTAATTATCACAGGCAGGAAAATACACAGTTTTACACAATATTCATAACTTTAAAAGTATACATCACATTACATTTTCAGAATCAGCATACTCCAAATACAAATATACTCAAAAATCAGGCAGTTCCTTCCATTGGTTTAAAAGTTAGGTCGAAGTCCTTTGTGACCAACTGAAGCATGGCTTTTCTGCCCAACACCAGTTCCACAGAGTCCTCTATCCTGGAGATAATTGGCTTAACTGGATGTGATAAGCCAACTATCTCCATGTACAGAAAATATCTCTATTCACAACAATTACAATAGGTCCTAATAATTTATTAGTTGGACCAAAGGTTCATTTGTTCAAGATAATGTAAAAATGGGATCATGGGAACTTATCATTTTACAAAATGCATATATCATGACTGTAGTTAAAAGAGAGGAAATGGTAAATTGGTCAGGTGATATGTATGTGAACGTTGCACAAACTTCAGTAACAACACAAGGACGAGGTGGTGAGATACTTTATACTATTCAATATTGGCTTATACATTTAGAGCCAGAATTCCTCTTAAAAAATAATACTCCAGGTATACAT